AGCTTGTTTTGGCTCTTGGGCTCTGTTTCATATCTTCAACAGAAAAAAAAAAAAAAAAAAAAAAAATTTGGCTCCGGGCTCTGTTCAATGCTTGCAACAGAAAAAAAAGAGTTTTATAAAAAGAAAAAAAGAAAAAAAAGAAAGAAAGAAGAAGTATGAAAAAAAAAAAAAAAAAAAAAAAAGGAAAGAAAAGAAGTATGGAAGAATCTGTTAAGCTCAGGAGGGATAGCGCCATAATCGATCATTACTCTTTTTTTCCTTGGGGTTTTGATTTTCTTTCTATAGCGCTATCCATCCTGAGTTTCATGGCTTCTTCTTGCTGTGTTATCTCTCTATCCATCTCCGTCTCTGTTTCTGCTTCGTTTCTCCCTCGCTTGGTTTCTGTATTGCTATTTAGTTGTGGGTACGCAATGCTATTCCAATTCTTTTTATGCCTATTTATTCTTTATTGTTATGTTTCTTTAGCTCGTTTGATGCTTGTCTTTCCTTTTTCTTGATCTTTACAAAAATGGAAAGGAGAAATAAAATAAAATAAATCTTAGAATAATCTTTCTTGGCCACAATGAGTTAATGGAGTTCTTATTGGAAACAATGTTAGTATTGCCTTATTTCTTTAAACTATATATTTTTCCTATTTATGCAATCTTATAATCTCTAAGCATCACTGATTTTTCATTTTCATTTTTTTCCTCTACTCTGATAATGGTGGGGGTAGTCTAATTATGATTAGAGTTCACATTTGCCCCATTATCTCACAGCTAATATATATAATACATATATACAGACAATAATTAATAAATTTTAATTTAAAAGTAAGAGATATTGAATTTGAATCTAATAAGAATTAAATTAATAAAAAAAAATATTATTATTAATAATGCATAAAAATCAAGAATTATAACCAAATGATGAACAATGGAATACTTATCGAAAATTATTTTCAAAATTGTGAGATTAGTTTGAATTTTAAATGGAATGATATTAAATATATGTGTTGTAATTAAAAAAAAAAAAAAAGAATAAGAATTTTTAGTTATGAAATAACTAATATAGGAAAATGGTAGATAATGTTTATCCATTAAGGAAATGGGAAGGAGAAAGGATGTTGACTTGTTTCTCTTACTCCAATCCATCCACCAATTTGATAGTGTATAAGTCACTGTCCTAGGCTTTTGGGTCATTTCCCTCTGGATGGCCTAAAATTCAAAGGGTAAATGGATCTGTGATATCTGCACTCATTTCCAGCTTTCTGATATTTTGCCCCCTTTTCAGGTGACTCTATTTCCACGCTTCCTCTCCTCCTTCCACTAAAATATCTTAGATAATGTCCTTTCTCTTGTTTTTATTCTTATTTTTTATTTTTTTGTTACACATATTTTCACACTCAGACCTTATTATATTCAAATAGGCTTTCTTCAGCAATAATGTTCAACGTATGGTTTATATTATAAAAAAAAAAACATAACACTAATTCTATTATTTATAATATTTTATTTGATGGTCAAGCATTTATAATAATGTTTATTTTTAAAGTGTTTATTAATTAATTTATTTAATATATGAAAATAAAAAAAAAAAGGCAATTATAAAGAAAAATAAAGTGGTATTAAATGGTGTCAGGCAAACCTACAAAAATTAACAGTAAATTGGTGCTTTTTTCAGGCAATGCCAGCTGCAGGGACCTTGAAATCCGATGGACAAGAAATTTATAAATGCTTGAAATTTGAAAGTGTTTAATAAGGCACAAGCATTTCACAGAGGTGATGGGTAGAGCAGAGACAATGTCACTACAGAGGGACCCCAACCAAACAGAAACCTCTTTTATTTCACTTTTTCACCCATTCTACCTCTACTTCCCTACGGTTTGGTTTCCCCACGGATCTAATTTCAATTTGAGCCCTTTTTTTTTTTTTTTTTTTTTTTTTTTTTTTTTTTTTTTCCTACGGTTTGGATTTCCCCCACGCGCATCTCTAATTTCAATTTTGAGCCCCTTTTTTTTTTTTTTTTTTTTTTTTTTTTTTTTTTTTTTTTTTTTTTTTTGTTATCTGCATTAATCTTTTCCTTTAGAATTAACAAACGTCTAAGGTCTGCTGGTCGCTCTCTCTTTATTTTTATTTTTTGGGATGAGTTTTCTTGAGATTTTATTTATTTTGTTTTGGAAATCATCAATATTTGAAACTTATTGATCCGATTAATCCAGATTCATGCTATAGGCCCATAAGAGAATTTGGATTAGTGTATCTAGCTAGAAGGAGTAAAAAGGGTTAGATTTGTCTAAGTTTGGTCTTTTAATTTTTGATTGTAAACTTATTATTAACTACTTAGTTAATGTTTCATTGACTTGGATTAAGAGACAAGTTAATAAGTTTGCTCAATTTCTATTACGAGAAACTCTGGATCTGTTCGACAAAATTAGCTATATTAGTAGCTTGTATATGTTAAATCAGTTAAGAAAATTCGATAAAACGCTATCTTAACCTCTAAAAATTAGTATAAATGCTATGTTATCGAATATAATAAAAAATAGCATTAAACTTTTAACCGTTTAAAACATTAAAAATTATTTAAAAAACTGTTGACCAACATTGTATAAAAGTTTTTTTTTTTCTTGATTTACATAAATAATAAAGCTTCTATTTTTATATAAAAAAAGAAAGTAGATATAAGAAAAAAAGAAGTGAAATAGGATAATTGAAATTGATATGAGTTTGATAATTCTTCTTTTTCTTGTGAAGTTTGATACTATTTTCGTTACATAATACTTATTACGTTTGAGAAAATAATTTATTACAAAATATTTGTCAGATTTATAGTTTAAACTTTAAAGGAGTACTATTTTTTTTTTTTTTTTTTTAACACCACCATTACGTACCAGAAATTCACAGTATTATAATTGTTTGGATAGGATACGATCGACATAAATGACTTCGCGAGACCGGTGTGTGTGTCATGTAACAAAAGTATACAAAAATATGTGTCAGAGATTGGGTATAGGGAAACGTGAAAGAGGACTAGGGGGGTGGGTGTGTGTGGCAGTAGCTCCCTTTGTATGAGCGAAGAAGACTGAACTGAAGAGAGGGACATTAAATAGGACGGAAATTAATTGTAAATCATATGAATTTTACATCTCGTCCCTTAATATAAGTTAATATATGCTATTTATAACTATATAAATAAATTTGATTCAGTGTGTTCACTGATGTTCGTTTTACCTTTTTGTCAAGAATGTAAATTCCCCTACCAATTTGACATAAAGTAATAAGACAAGCGATTCTTAGCTATCTCTTATTTTTTTCAACTATTTTTTTTTTTTTTTTTTCATGTATCCCCTTGTATATGGCTAATAATTACTTAATGTTTAGATATAGGAGCGTTAAATTAATGATAATATAGTCAATATAATTAATAATTTATTATAACTTATATAAATTTAATAGTTTTCTTACGGAATGTGAAATTCCAAATGTGACATGTAAAAGAGATAGTATTCTATTTCATTTGAAATTCGAAATTAACACATGTAAATAAAAATTTCAAGTGAAATATGATTAATACTAGTTGGAATTGTTTTTGAGAAATATAATTCATTCATAATAAAATCAAGTATTACAAATACTCAATTAGATTATATATAGAACTTACTATCACAATTAATAGAAAGTCCGTTGATCCTTCAACAATAAAAGAATTATCTATATTATTTTGAATAATAAAACTATAACTATAACTAAAAGAAACAATATTCGATTTTTCTACTTGAAGATAACCTTGACCGATATAAATCTTTATAGTAGTAAGGTCCTTTAATTGATTTGGTCGACAAAATAATTTATCCGGATCTTCTATGCCTGGATTGCTTTTCCAAAAATTTATTACGTATGACGTACACGGATGAATTTAAGCTACTATATGTTAATAACATCAATGGAGGAATATGCCGCATTACTAGGTTCCATTGATTGAAGATATACATCAGTAAAATAAGATATAAATTCTCTAAATAAATAAAATCAAATATCATACCTTTTAAGATACACATCAGTAAAATAAAAAAAAATACTTATTTTGAAACAGAAAAAGTAGTACTTTTCTAATTGTAACAGAGACGATGTTTTTTCCTAGCTATTTGATTCTAGTTCTAGTTTCCAACTAGAAAAAAAAAAAAAGTAATTAAAGAATTCATTGACGAAACCAGTTAAATAATAAACCGGTTGAAACATCAGTCAAATCTTTTCAGATTTTTAAAAGAACCGATTGAATTTTAACCAAAATTAAAATATATAATAAGCATTTCAATCCAAAAACCCAGTGGGTGGCCACCCTTACTCTGCATGCCTACACCAAGAAATGATTATGTTATTTGGAAAATAGTGCAAGATGAGTTCCAAAACCATTAATTCCATAATAAAATGTGTATGTTATATGTAGATATATGGATTTGGGGTAGGTAAGAATTATTTTTAGATAGATATTCTTGATTAATTTTGAATTATTGAAATGCTTTTTCTCTTCCTAATTCTTTTTCCCCACAAGAGCAAAAAAAAATAAAAGAAAAAGAAAAAAAGGGTTTAGGACCCAAAAAGAAACACATCTAGCCTAATTACTAATTAGTAATTACGAAAACAAAATTTTAAGTGTTAAAAAGAAGTGGCCGAACAAATCCTAATGAAAATGGGCTTGCTCAAAATCTCTACTTTTGAATCTTTAGTGGTGGCCAAGGTTTTAGTTTAAATGGGCTTGTAAGGCCCAATGCGAATCTACATAAATACAAGATATTTATTTTTTCCCTCGGGCGCGCAATCTGTTCGTTAAAATAGTTGTGATACAGATTAGAAGAAACCAAAAAAGAAAAAAAAAAAAAAAAAAAAAGCGAATCTAACATAAATAACAAGATATTTTATTTTTTTCCCTCGGGCGCAGCAATCTGTTCGTTAAAAAAATAGTTGTGATACAGATTAGAAAGAAACCAAAAAAAAGAAAAAAAAAAAAAAAAAAAGAAAAGAAATCAACGAAAAAAAAAAAAAAAAAAGAAAAAGAAATCCACGCTTTCTGAGCTTTCTTCACTAGATTTTAATTTTTAGAGGAAGTTGCTCTGCAACGGAAACACGCGCTTCCTTCCTCAAACAATGGCTACTTTTCTATCACATATACACTATTTTCAAATTAATCCTTCGTCTAAACCCCGATTTCTCACTTCAATTGTTCCCTGTTACAATGTTCGTTTACAGGCCGCTGCTTCCAAATCATCACCAGAAAAGAGCACAACCACCAACACCAACACCAACACCTCGGTCGACATTTCGCCGAAGAAGCCCAAACCTTCGGTTTCTCGTAAACGAGTTGATTTGACCGAGCCTCGGTCTCCTTCCTCTTTGTCTTTGTCCGATTCCTTCTCTGGTCTTTTCTCCCGTTTAAGGTGCATTAATATGGTCCAAGCTGTTACATTGTAAATGAATTAATTGCTTCACTTCTTTGATTTTTAGGTATTAAAAGGAGTTTTTTATTGCAGAGATGGGTTTAAGATTGATGAACTTGGTTCGGAAATTTTGTCAATTGCTTTGCCTGCTGCCTTGGCTCTTGCTGCTGATCCCATTACTTCACTTGTCGATACAGCCTTCATTGGTCATATAGGTAGTTTCATTTTCAGGTTATAATTGACCTCTTGAAACTCTTAGGTATATATGTTGGATAATTTGTTTAAGTCAGTGGAAAATATAGTGGATTGATTAGAATCTTGAACTCGCTAATCTCATCGTAAGATTCTTGTGTTCATTATAGGACCGGTTGATTTGGCAGCAGTTGGGGTATCGGTTTCTGTATTTAATCTGGTTTCAAAGTTGTTTAATGTTCCATTACTTAACATCACAACATCATTTGTAGCTGAAGAGAAGGCATTAGCTAGCGAAGCTAAAGGTAATGATATTTCAAGTCTAATTCATGTTTGTAAGATACATTATTGAGATTTATTTGAGAATAATACTATTTGTCACCTAATGGCGGTTTTTTTTATTATGGTTGCTTTGTAGATATTAATCAGCTGCAAGGAAAGAAATACCTACCAGCTGTTTCAACGTCTTTAGTGCTTGCTGCTGGTGTTGGCATTGTTGAAGCGGTTGCGCTCTTTTTTGGCTCTGGATTCTTAATGAATGTCATGGGTATACCAGTTGTACGTCCTACTTGTTTATGAATTTTGTTTTTCCTGTTAGTAATGCATGTTTAAGAAAGGATGACATGTTTCCATGGGTTTGGTGCATTGGCCTGTCTTAGTGATGCCATTTTTCTTTCAACTGACATTACTTTGATGGTCATACACTTAGATACAGCACTAGCAATATTATAAATTATGAGAAGTTTGACTACATGAAATTGTTTTAAGTTTTAACAACTACGTTGTATATCAATCGTAAAAGTTGTTATTGATGTGCTATCCACTGGTGAATGAAGACGTGCTTTTTTAAATTGTATTAAGTTTTGTTTGAGAAGATGGCCTCTGTCTTGCATTTAGGTTCTAGTTTTTCTGCTTTCAATGTTTAAGTGGTTAATTGTGCAAAAAAGAAGTTTAGGAATCAATGCAATTATGTCTTTTTTGCGAGTAAAAAAGATGTTGGTTATTTTCCGTGCCTTTAAATTGAGCATATGCATTTTATATTATAAATTTTGTGGATATATGTTCATAGCTTACAATCTTGCATGCAAAATGTTTTAGTCTTGAGAAAGAATGTCATCTTTCTCTGGAATTTGCTGCATTATAGGATTCACCCATGCGAGTACCAGCTGAGAATTTTCTTGCTTGGAGGGCCTTTGGTGCTCCACCCATTGTAATTGCGCTTGCTGCACAAGGCACTTTTCGTGGATTCAAGGATACAAAAACACCTCTATTTGCCATAGGCAAGTATTAAAGCACTGCCTTTTTTTCTCTTTCATGCTATCTGTACAAATTTTCCAGCTGTTAGGCTATGCCTGTAGTTAATTGCTGATGATTTTCTCAATGCTGTTTGTTTTTGTGATGTTCTATTAATTTTGTGATGTTCTATTAAATTGACATTCAAGGAGTTGACTGAAATAGAAAGCGCACCAGTGCATTTTGCATCTAGCCGCATGGTTATAAGCACAGTTAGGAACCTAGACTGTACATATCTTATATAGCTCCTTTGTCACTCTTGCTCATTACATATATTATCATCGCACTAGCTTGAAAATTATCTTTTCTCATTTAGAATCTATCACAGCTTTTATGATAGTGCTTTGTGCTCAGAGGGTGGTTGTCTCATTAAGCAAGTACTTGTATGCATCCAGTGCATTTTGCTGGTTATAAGCACAGTTAGGAACCTAGACTGTATATATCTTATATAGCTCATTTGTCACTCTTGCTCATTACATATATTATCATCACACTATCTTGAAAATTATCATTTCTAATTTATAATTTATCACAGCTTTTATGATAGTGATTTGTGCTCAGCGGGTGGTTGTCTCATGTGAATACTTTGCCAAGCAAGTACTTGTATGCATGTGACTACTTTGCCAAAACAGAACTTGGTTGACCTAAATTTCCAAGAGAATAGAATGTTAACCCAATATCTGGAGTTTATTGGCTGGTCCATCCACATTTGGTTATTAAGAAACACTGTAACAGGTTGCATTGGGTCAACATATAGATGTAACTATTTTTTGTTTATCAGTATTCACATCAAAGTTGTTTTTCTCACTGCTATACCAACAAGATTAATAAGACAGTCATATATGTATGTTCTGAAAATTGATGCTGTATTTCATGTTTGAAAGGTCCAGCTATAGACTTTATTCTTTCATCCTTAAACAAACATGAGATAAGGTTGTTATCTGGTTTATCAGGTGCTGGCAACTTACTGAATGCAATACTGGATCCAATATTGATATTTGCATTTGGTTTTGGCATTGGTGGTGCTGCAATTTCTACTGTGATTTCTGAGTATGTCAGTGATGTGGTAAACTTAATAATATCAGTGCCCCTTTTTATATGATAAGCCTGTAATTTAGGAAGTGGTTTTAAGTTTCATCTCAGTGTCAATTTACCCATTTTCATTTTTTTTTCCAGATATCTTATTGCTTTTATCCTTCTGTGGGAGTTGAATGACAGAGTATCACTGATCTCTCCAAATATTGATGGGAAGAAAGTTGTGAGCTATCTAAGTTCTGGTATGTTTCCTTGTGAACTTCTATATTCCCTGACTGCAATCTTTGTAGGTAACAATACATTTGATGCTAATAGAAAAATTCTAGCATAAAACCATAGGAATCTCATTTGGCCATCGAGTCCACTGGAATCAAAGTCCAGAAATGATATAGTGAACAGTCAAAACCTAATTGCTGATGAGCATAGAGGGAAATAGATGAACTTCATATAATTTCATAAGAATAAAGAGGAAAAGATTGTTGGTCATTTTATCAAATATATACTTTGGCTTTATCAATGAAGTCGCAACTTAGCTGGAACAGTCATTCACTTGCTTCTTTTTTTGGCAATATGGTGGGTCTGCCCGGTGCAATAAGGAAGATTTTGGTTATCACAAGGGTAAAGTTTTGAATCCTAAGTGTAGCTGCTAAATGTAAAAATGCTGAAGGGTAGGACAATGCCAAAATTCTCCGTAGGGCATCCTTCAATTGGGAGCATAATTAATTAATGGGCCTGTTTGGCATAAGCATATGATTGTGAACCAACTTTGGCATATAAAAGACCAAGTTGGTCCTGATCAAGTTGCATTTTTTTCATTAAGTTTAGATTTTACCGCAGTTGTCTTTTCTCTGCGGATTTCTGTGCTTCTCTTCCCATTTAGAATGAAGGGGAGCATTAGTGATGGATTTTAATGCCAGACATGTTTCTGACAATTTCATATTTTTCATATTTACGCCAAATCTTTTTTACTCACAGTTCACCATGAAAATATTAGGATATGGCAATATGCTTTATAGGCTTAAGTTGCAGCAAGTTGTTAAGCATGTTATACACCTGTTTGGATATTGTATTTCTTTGTTATATGGCTAAGATATCCTGAATTTATTCAGTCCAGATGAATAGAGATCAAAGGGGATGGGTACTTTTCCTTGCGGAACAGAGGTTTATGTAGTAAACTGTGAACATCTATGATCACATCATATGTAAGGATATATTGGATTGGTGAATCTTCAACTCAGTGAACAAGTTGATTACCCCATGATCTACAATTAGGGCTGCTAGTGAACTACTGTATTCATCAAACTGCTCATGAATAAGTACAATTTTAGCTGACTTCCATTCTCTCTGAAGTTAAATGAATAATTTGGAAGAAAAACTTTAGGTCTTTTTAAACCAACTGAATGTTTACATGACCTCCATAGGCTCCTTTATATTTATTTGGCTACTTATTGAAAACTAAATAACTGTTGATAGGTAAGCAGTGTTAAGTTATCCAGATTGGTTTCAGAATTAGGCACATGGATAGGGAAAAGGGGGAATAAAAAGTTAAGTATATGTATGATTTTTTTGCCACATCATCCTCAAGTAATATGAAGAGTTTCCTCCTCCATGTAAAGAGGAAACCAGTTCTCTTTATTTTTTTTTCTCTCCCTTCTTTTTTGAAATCTGAGACAGGTAAACTTTTTCCAAAGTACTCATTGTAGCAAGGTTCACTAAAGTTATGTTGTTTTATCTAATTTGAATGTAAAAGAAATCATTTAGAAACAGTTAAGAAGTGCACTTAGCTTTTAGGCTCAATTATGGTCTTGATCTCGCTAACTTCTTATGTTCAAACCAAGCTTGAAAAGCTATCATCCTGGGCTTGTGGCCTGTTTGCTTCCCACTTGACATTAGCATTAGGTATGAATTTAGCATTTAAGTGGACCCCTTTACCCAAGTTAAAGATTTCTTCTATATCTCAGATATTTCAGTCTATTAATATCTCGAGTTCATATATTTGATTAGATTTTTTTTTTAAACATCTTAACCGTAGTGACGACTTCATGATTAGTCAAGTTAGTATGCAAAAGCTATATACAAATATTGACTGTGGAATGTTCTGCAATCGTGGGTCCTCTAATTTAAGTTTCTTCTCAAACAAGTTGGTAATAATTCTATTGAACTTGTAGGTGGTCTCCTTATTGGCAGGACCATAGCTGTGCTTTTGACAATGACACTAGCCACATCCATGGCAGCTAGAGAGGGCCCCATACCTATGGCTGGTCATGAAATTTGCATGCAAATCTGGTTGGCTGTATCTTTGCTTAATGATGCTTTAGCTTTAGCCGGTCAGGTAAATAGTACATATTTTTGTCTTTACATTATGTTCACAACAAGTGAGGACATAAAAATCACAATAAATAGATTGACTGAACAGCTTAGAAACTTCAATAAACTTTTCATAACAAAGGTTCTGAGTTTGAAAATTTGAAGGGTTCATGTGTTGCAATTGAGATTGGCATTTTGAGACTTTATGCATAAGCTGCAGCATAGCTTGCAATGAAGCTATAGTTGTGAAGCCAAATAAGCTCTTGAACACCTCAGTCATAATTTATTATTATATCATTGAAAAAGAGTACTGGAGCAACTCAAGGGCATGCTGGATCTTTCATGTAGAAATTGAGTGCCCTCCTTCACTGTTACTATGTGTTCTTCATAGAGCATGTGTCATTTCCTGATAGTTTAGAAAAAAGGAGATTATACTCTGTTTATGCTATTATTGTTTGCAACATCTTTTTGCCTCATCTGCATACTTTGTGTTCTCATCTCTCTTGATTTCTATGCTTCTTTGGCATGTTTGGAAGCAGCATATGGCTGCTTTTAAAATTTAAAAAAAAAAAAAATTAAATACTTCAGTAAATGGGGGCAAGCAAATATAAAGCTAGGTGCAAATGCTTTTGAAATTTCCTTCCTTTCATCAGGGGAGGCGCAAGGTATCTAGCAGAGTTGAATTGCTTCTGTATTTGATATCATACTCAAGTATCATGAGATGATGGCTGAGTTTTTCCTTTTGATGTTCCTTAATTTCTGTTGTTAATAATTTGTTATTATCAGGCTCTTCTGGCCAGTTGTTATTCTCAAGGAAATTATAAACAAGCACGTCAAGTGATATACAGAGTTATGCAGGTATATGGTACTCCTAACTCTCTGCATTTTTAGTTTAGGTCATGTTCATTTACCATCATGAGAAATTAAAATGATTCAATTTTGGTATGCTATCACTTGCTTGTCATGCAGATTGGTGGTGTAACTGGAGTTGCTTTGGGTGTGATACTGTCCCTTGGATATGGAGCATTTTCTAGCTTATTCAGTACAGATTCAGAAGTTCTGGAGATTGCCTGGTCTGGTATTCTGGTGAATGACTATTTCTATAAATTCCTTTTCTTGGAGAACCTTACATTTTTTTTTGGAGTGCAAGTTTCAAACAAGTAATTGGAATATAATCTATCCGTAATAATAAGGTAGCTTGCAGTGCAAGTTTCAAAGTAGAAATACTAAAAAAATAATGATAGATCTTCTTACTTGGGATAATGGTTCTTTGAGCTCCCTTGTAGTGCAGGATTCACTTTTGACGAAACACTACTGACAAGTTAATAATAGTAATATGTATTGCAACAAAAGTTTAAAATCCAACTTCTGGTGAAGGGGACATATTTTATGTTATGCTGCTTATGCTTTTGTTCTGCTTAATATCTAGTTCTTTGAGTAGGGGGGAGCAATATTCAAGTCTGACCTGAAAACCAAACCCGACCAACTCTTTTTGGTTTGCTTGGTCAGCTTTTTTAAAAATTGGTTACCGTTCGGTTTGAACAGTGATGACTGCTTGATTTTTTGTTTCGGTTCGGTCTTACATGTAGCTAACCGAATTACTTTTTTATGTCCAAAATAGGTTTTTCGGTTCGGAATAAGGAATAACTGAACCAAAGCCGAACCAATCTGGTTCAGTTCGGTACCAAACCAATTTCTATAGACTCGGTCTGGTTTCAGTTATCATGAAAATTCATTTGGTTGAACTGAACCAATTTGGTTTGGTTAATTGAGAACTCTTGTTTTTATCCATGATTCAGATACTGGATAGTATTTATAGGCCTAGTTCCAATAAAGACATGTTTAGGCTCTCTTTTATAGTGGTGGCTTTATAGTCAGGCCCGAGATTGGGTTGTTTTGGTTTGAGCTCAGGTGGTAGCACTGGTTTTCCTTGGGATGTAGAAAGTAAAAGTCCCTTATCATTTAATTTGCAATTATGAAATCAATATATGGGCAAGGGACATTCTGCACAGCTTTGGTCCCCAAAATTGTTATGGAATTGAGAGCTCCTAACACTTGGACAAATGGTAAAAGGTGGGTTGGGATGGTGGGGGAAGGCACAGGAAGGGGTTTCAGTTCTCCTACCTTTATAATGTGCTATAAGTCTCTCGAGCTCCATTTGGGAGTCCATTACAGGCTAGTATCTTAAGAAGTAATTATTTCATTATTGAAAATTATGAGCTTAAGAGCTTTAACATAATTGACCACTTGTTGCTTGGTCAAATGATAGCCTGTTCACCTGTGTTAAATGTTAGCTTGAATTTGTTAATAAGTTTTGGCGTCTTTGTACCCTCTTTCCTCACTTCTGTTTAGCGCCATTATTTTGATAAATCCATTTTGAGTTGAGAAGTGACACACTGATACTATTACAAGAATGTATGGATGTCCAATTTTTTTTCTGTCATGGGTCTCCTAATTGTTATCAAATAATTTTTGGATTTTGGTTGCTAGACATGTGAGTTGTAGGCATAATGTTGCAAAGCTCATTAAAATGTTTGACACTATCTTGTAGTTTGTTGCTGGGTCTCAACCAATGAATGCTATTGCATTCGTTGTTGACGGGCTTTACTATGGCGTTTCAGATTTTGGATATGCTGCCTACTCCATGGTTTGTTCTTATTCCTGTTACAGTAAGCTTGATAATAAGATATACTATTCCCATTCTCAGCTCCTTATTTGTAATGCACAGGTAGTAGTAGGACTTATCTCGTCTGTGTTCATACTTGTGGCCGCACCTGCATATGGTCTTGCTGGTGTCTGGACTGGGTTATTTCTCTTCATGACCTTGCGTGTTGTGGCTGGAATGTGGAGGTAATAATCACGGTTCCAGAGGAGGCTATCAATTAATCACTTAATTGTTATCATCAATTGATTATCATGAGCCTAGGATAGTAGGATGTATTCCAATGGTACCCTGTTCAATTCTTTAGAACTTTAACACATATAACATGAAATCACCACCATTAACCAACACATCCATTTGAATGTGGCACGGCATAATCTTAGTTTGAAAAGCAACTAGTACCTCACATGCAGCATGTCACTAAACCTTTTTGTTTCTCCTCCATGAATGACAATGATAATGTCACAGTGAGAAAGACAGATTTGTTAGAGTAACAGGGTGAGAGGACTGGTTAGAAATCCAGACTAGTTAAGAGCATCATATGTTTGTTGTTGACCATCAGCAGAGTGCTTCTAAAACTCTTTTAGCATGAAACATGGGCGCATCAGATACAATGGGAGGAAACTGAAACTCGAATTAAAGTTTGTGAGTTTCTTTTTTATGGACCTGATGAACTGGGTCAATATTTATTGTCTTCAAGATCAAAAGCATAATGATCCAACCTAAATAATAACAAGTGATAATGGCATTTCCTAATGACTCTAATTCTGGATCGTGCGTTATATTGTAAGATTTAATTCTACTGCATCAGACACTTTTTTGTGCATCTGTCAAAATATAGTAGCTGAATTTGTGTTTGATGTCCTTGAATCACTGTGGAAGTGCTGACATCATCTTGCACCATAATGCATAGAATGGCCAATCCTGTATTTTTTTTTTTGGCCTACTTAATACTATGCAGAGTAATGTGCTTTTAATGTATAAACTGTTAAATATAGTACTCTTGTGGTTTTGGATATTGAACTTCACATTTGTTCCACCTTGCACTAGTTTGTTCTAAATGCTAAGCTTTCTTCCAGGTTGGGCACAAAAACTGGGCCATGGAAACTGGTCTGGGCGACAGAGGAGCAGGAAAAAGATTAAGTGAAGGAGATCTACCAGTATATGATCACAACTGCAGAAGAGGGTAAGGTCTTGGGACATGTCTTGATAAAGTGCTCAAGATGTTCAAGGCTATCAAACAACATGTATTAGCACTTTGGTTACTTCACCCTCATAGCTTCAAATTTGACCTAGTTGTCAAGGCTAGCAGGATTCATCAGCACTAGTAGTTTCCAGGACAGCTAACAACTCACCACATTTAGGTTGTGTTATTGTGGCTGATTCTAGATATGGTAAGAATTTCCGGAGCAAAGCACTTCTGATTCACAGCTTTTCCAACAATTTTTTTTAATCATAGCTAGATGTGCAAATAATTTTATATTATTCTCATTCTGTGATTAGTTGTAAATTACTATTTTAATGTAGAAGAATTAGATGTGTATATACATGTGTTTTTCTGAATGACCTTATGCCACAATTTGAATACAGTTGCGATTTAGAGGAACTGGCCATAATTGTAAATGGCATATTGAATTTTTGATGTAGTACTTAATATATTGCTATATTAGTAACTTGTTGCGTTTTTTCATGCAACTTGCAATGACAGTGACTATGACTCTTATGGTACAACGTGGCTCAAGAAAATGAGTATATCATATCGGATCAGATTAAAATTATATAAATATGCAGAACAGGATGAATAACTTGACAAAAGTTTCTGCTGTTTCATGGGTAGAAGAAGATCAAAATTAAACAAGTTTTGGTCACTTTTCGGGTTTTAATTACAAGTTTTTATAGGCAGGGTTTGAATTTAGATGATTTTAATAATCTAAAATTTTCTAGTATCTGAAATTTGAGGCGGAACATTTTAATCATTTGTTAAACCAAAGATTATTAACTTTTACTACAAGCATTTACGTTTTCCATTATTAATAAATTTGAGATTTTTATATTTTTCACCTTGTACAGATTCAGAAAGTATTAAACCTGTTATATTATTAGCAGGAAGGAGAATAAAACATGATACATATGAGACAAGAATAAAACTCTGAAAATATAATCAACTATATTGTTTTATACCCTTCACTGTCTCAATCTGTTCTCTGCTTTCTTTCCCTCCATCTTTCTGTTTAACTGTTATCATAAAATCTGAAGAATAATGATTCAATTTGGGAAAAAAAATACAATCAAAAACAAAATGGCATCTGATCAATGCATGCATATATATAATACTACTTGTAAGAACAAAAGATATGTACTAACCAATATAAGTTGTTTCCTAAGGGCTATCTAAGACTTAACAGTATCATCCATAATATTGACATCAGTAAGCAAAACAGCCAATACCCACTCCACTGAAGGATCCAATAGCAAAACTTCTATGGCTAATATTTCTGCACCATTTTTTTTTTTTAACTATGAAGCAGCCTCTATCATTCTCTAGAATCCAAATTCAGGGAACCATGGTTCAATAGACAATCCTAGTTCTTCTTCCACTGAATCCCAATTAAAATCAGGCTCCATCGGATCGAAATTGCTTTCAAAATTTCTGTTTCTTTCTTTTGTATGATTCAAGCTGTCTGGTAGATTAGCACTTGGGTTCTGCATCTCGCAGGAGATATTAGATGAACAATTTCCCTGCTGGAAATTCGTAAAGCCTAACTCAAAGTCTTTATAGTCATAATTCCCTTCTGGTTTTAGTACAGAGTTCTCATTGCCATCTTGGTGAGTAGAAGGCTTAATATCAGTTTCTGTATAGCAATTGATGTCTGTGCAATCGTTGCTCACATTATCATGTCTGACCATAAAATCGGATTCAGTTCTTGAAATTTCTCCTTCCATTACTTTCCTCATTATTGGCATCTCCGCTTCATTAAAAGACATGTAATCAGTTGTTGCATCATCAAAATCCATATGTAATTCAGCTTTCGTAATTTTGGTCTCACCCTGCGAGCTCCCATATCCATCTTCTGCAAATTCTGCATTCGTTTGTTCTACGCCATGGGAGATTCGGCAATCAGTTGTTGAAATACAATTTTCAAGTTTCTCATCTCTAAGTTGTTCAAATCCATCAAAACCAGAACAATCCAAAAGATTCAATTTTGATGATGATATTTCCGAAGAGTAATCAGGGAAATTGAGTACAGCATTAGAACCATACATAGTCTTGGCCGCATTATCATAAGCCTGAGCTGCTTCAACGGCAGTCTCAAATGTACCCAGCCAATGTCTATTCCTAGGTCCTTTTCCTGCAGGTTCTCTAATTTCTGCAACCCATTTGCCCCAAATTCTCTGTCTAACACCTCTATAATTGCAACTCTGATTCTCTGGTCCACCTTTTCCTCTCATACAACCTTTTCTTGATCCCTTTGGCCGACGCTTAGGAATTTCATCAATTTCGCTCCTCCATTCTTCAAGTGTATCCTCTACTCTCTTCCTTGGTATTTTCTTGTTTTTGCTACTAACAATCTCTGCACAAGAACTCACCTTTCTTTCCCCCATTTGACCCAAGAAAGGTTTTTCAAGAACCTAAGGTTTTTCGTTTTGGGAAAAAAACATATAAATATCTTCAAGATTTGTTCAAAAGCTCAAAAATTCTAGTCCAATGAAACAAAAACTAGATCAAACCTTTAATAAAATCTTGTTTTCTTGAACTTTCTGAAGGGCTTTTGGCTTCTTGATTCTTAAGGTAACAGAAGAAGGGTTTGTAATTTCGTCGAAGAAGAAGAAGAAGAAGAAGAAGAGACCCAACTTGAGCTATTTGCGAGTTGTCAACTTTCGTACTTGGTACAGAGGTTTATCTTCGAGACGAAGGAAACGGAAGGAAAGAGTTTATATATGATACGAATATAATAATAGTAACAATAAGACTGCGTTTATTTTATTTTGGGTATCGATGGAAGGATATCTGGTGGTGACGTGTATGTGCCAATTGAGATCCTGTCGTGACTTGCATATGGTGGGTAACGTGTACACGTGGCAAAACCCTATTACCTAAGGTAACATTCACATATATAATTTTCTTGGGGAAGAAGACTTGATACCTCGAGTATTATTTTTCTCACCTTGTCTCCTCTAAAATTCGATTTTAGCCTACTTTTTTAATGTATCTCTCAAAAAGAAAATTGTTCTCTTTTCTCTTTTTGCCTTTTCCTCACGTGCTTCGTCGCAGTTTTCATATAGTTATCGATATGTAATGTATAAATATCCTACTTTTTAAAGTTCCTATCTATTCTTAGTGATGTTGACTATAGAGTACAAATTATATTTTCTAAAATTTAGTAATTAGGTAATAAAAAAATAATTGAATAATATTTATAATTAGGGAATGAATAACTTTAAATTTTCATCCATATTTTTTCATTTAAATATCCGTTTAATATAAATAAATTCAAAATATGAAATTTATTGTCCTTGAATTCTAAATAAAATTAAAATTTATTTATAAATGACATTTTTATATTTGGAATAAATTTAAAATTAAATTATTTGCTTTTATTTTTTTTAAAATACCCTACTATTTTGAAAAGTTGCTACATAAAATTAGTGATATTGACTACTGAGAGTAAAATATGTTTCAATGTTTTTTAAAAGCTGGCAATAAAGTGCTTATCGATGAAGGGTTTTAACGAGACCAGATTTCCGTACAGGTTTACCACCACAAATTCAAATACTTCTTTTGCAGTTGGTTGTGGTGATTCAACTTTTAAGAGACAGTAAAAGAATGAGAACTGCAAAGATTTTTTTATGGAATAACATCTTTTCATTCCGTTATATGATCGATGCACTAAATTCACATTTGATTTCAAACAATTATAGGTTTGAAAATTATTAAAAAGAGAACTAAACAAAATAAAGAAACACAGTATAGAGAAACGAAAAGGTACCATCGCCGACCAAAAAAGATAATCGGTGGTCGTTTAAAAACAAAATCTTGAAGAACAGAAAAAAGAAAGCAAACGTAGCTTAAGATATATTAATCATTTTATTGTTACATGTAAAACGCTGAAAATTGACTGTTTAAATAGAATAAAGAGAGAAAATAGTAAATTTCAGATTAAAGTTAAAAATAATTTTATTATATAATAAATCAATTTTGAATTTATAAAGAGCTCTATTATGTCTATAAATGCCCAAAATTTATTACCTACAATTATTTGTCAAAAAACAAAAAAGGCTGAAAAGTTAATTTAAACAAACGGTCTTAGCAGATTCTACTGTTTAGTTAGTAATAATCACTATTTTAAAAAGAAAAAATAGTGACTAATTTTATCAGCCAGAGTTGAGTTGAATCATGAAGCCCATTTGACTCTCTTCCCTCAGATAAGCTCATTCAGCACCTTCCTTCCTTTTTTTTTTATTTTTTTTATTTTTATTTTTATGGATTGTTTTAACTTTTAATAATTAATTAAAATATATCAGTAGAGTTTTTAACATCTGCGGCTATTAACATTCGCGGCTCTATTTTTGTAAATACGCAATGACAACTCCAAACGGATCCATAGTTTACTAGAAAACTCCAGAGTTTAGCAGAGCAAATGGCTTAGAGTTAGATCACCTACCTAATCAGCAATCAAATTCGATTCCAAGCTCTACTATCTATCAGCTGGAGAGGTTCCATTTGAGCTACTAGCAATTCAGAAGATACCACATCAGTTCAAAAACACAAACAGACCAAAATACCAATATTCCCATTTTCTTTTCATTTCCCTCACAGCCTTCTAAACCACATTAAGCCTCTTATATATATATATATATATGGAGAAATTTCAAGACCAAATGCAGCAAATAAATTGTGCATAGTAACCCCCATTCGGGGGTAATCTGCAAGCCACTTTAAAAAGCCACCTAGAAGCCCCTGATAGCATTTTGTATCATCAGCACGCGAGTTCAAGGATAATCACCTATCTTCAGCTCAAAAGTAGCCATGAATATCCAACTACAAGAATCATCGAAGAGAAATTCCTTGAATACTGGATCTTCAACATGTCAACAACAAGATGAGGTGCATCCCTGTTTTCCAAGATTCCCAGAGAAAACAAGAGAAAAAATGAGACAGCAATATCAACATGGATCAAATTCCTTCTCCTATTTCTAATAGGATGTAAATAACTTATCATCTAATGCAGCATTAACTTTTTTACATGCATAAATACATGAGCAACTGCAGAAACACATATTGGTAGTGACTGACTTATTCTAAATTTTCTTCATTTGTTCAAATAAATTACAGACTGAGACACACTAACATCTAACTGTGGCCTTAACAGCTATTTACTTGGAGATACTGAAAGCTACCAAACCCTACTTACATTCAGAGATACAAGCAATTTTCATACTAGAGTTGTACAATGCAGTCATTGATTTTAATGTTAAATCTCTCCAATGATTTATTAATAAAGGCCTTTCTCTTTGTCCTCTTATCATCCATAACTAATCTGTAAACCTTAAAAAATTCAGGAGCAAATCATCATATTTATCTCTTGAAGTTCAATAAGCAAAATTCACTAAGTCTGTCCTTTAACTCTCATTAATTGTATTTTCTTCTTTAATACTGAATATCACAGTTATTATGAATGATCTTTCAGTTTCCAATTGACCCATAAACTACTACGGATAGTAACAGTTTCACATTCTGCGTTTTTGCATATCAACTACTATGGATAGTCTGCCCTTGTATTGTCATCATCACTTGCATATCATGGAAACCTTCTTAATAATATCTTCATCCACATATAAAACTATTTGAAGATAACCAAATTCAACCACCATAACCGGCTCAAACACCTATCTATAAATTACCAGGTGTGTCAACATCTCTACCATAATTGCACTTCTGTGTTTCAGAGAAACTTGAAAATCTTCTCAGCAGTAACATGCTCCAAGAAGTAACACAGCTGCCATGCCAATTAGTATAGCTCAAACTCGTCAACAGACTCATTTAATGGTGCTAAACATGACACCTATTTTCCATTTAAGGTGGTTAAACACTGTACCCTCCATTACATCAATCAGTTTATATTACAGATGTACATCATAGGTATATTCTCTTGAGCTTTTCTAATTTTTATTGCTATATCACAATCTCTAACCTTCCATCCTTATATTTTAGAATTCACTCTACTTTGAAGAATTACATAAACAGTCCCTGAATATATATTACATCCAGACAAGGGGAAGAGGAAACAAAAGTGGAAACCTCTCAATGCAATGAGAAAAAGTAAACAGTCCAACTTTCTTTGTAGGAAGGTCACAAGCTATGAAGTCCGAGGGAATAATAGCTGAAAAATGTAATGAAGTAGAGAATTTTACAATGACCTCTTAAGCCAACGATATAAAGAAAGTTGGCCCTTGTTAACATGAACAAGGAGGAAGCAGAATAATCCAGGAAAGATAGCTTGAGCATTTCAACTTTAAGAAGGCAACAAGGACATATTATCACATAAAATGGCACAACAATGTGATAAGACTGGAAATATCAGAAGAGCTTGAAACAAGAGGAAATGGCGCTCCTATCTGAAAACTAAATAATTTTTCACAAATCCTCAGCTTATGACCCTAGCATCTGATTGAGGTAAAACAAATGTTTATAATGTATAAGCTGAACCTCAAATTTTGTTTTTATTTTTTATTTTTTCTTTTTATCTCAAAGCACACATTCAACTGAAAAGGCAAATCCTTGTATATTCATTAAATTGAAAAGGCCCTACCACCACTTCCCCCTCACATCACAGATGCCAATAAGACTAGATAGCCATTTGGAATGGTGCCAATTAAGCGTATTAGAAACCCTAATTCTGTTAGAAATTCACATACTCATATTGAGTATCCAACCTGAACATGCAATCAAGATGGTTAAACTGTCGTGAATATACAATCAGTATTAGTTCACAAGGCAGACTAATGGTTTGCAAAATGAAAAATCTATGCTTTCTAAATTCAATTTCAATATTTAACTGAAAAAAAAATTCAATTACAAAACCTATAATTTATTTGTAATGTCTTTTCCTTCAGGGTTTCCAGGAAGATCTCATAATCTTTTCCTACTACCTATTTTCTGAAAAGGAAATGATGGGAACATGAGAATGCTACCTCTATGCAACAAAGAGAATAAGCTTCAGCAGGAGGGAAAAAAAATTACCTGAAGCAACTTAGAAAAATATGATCAGCAGCCATATTAGTTACTCTAGTCCAGTCCGGGCAACTTTCTGCCGCAACTTCCTATTGATATTTTCCTGCCAAAAGTAAATGCAGCATTCAACTTGTATCCCTTTTTCCATTAATACAGGATGAAAGTTCAAATTAATGAAGCAAACGTTCGTTACTCAATTTTTCAATGTTCTAATATCCACTAAGTAGTAGCCAGAATGAGGAAAGATCAACTTAGTACTTCAATCTTGTGAAACATTGAATTATTGCTTAATAGTCATCGGAAAATAGCAATTACGGGAACAATTGAAACATAAAATCATTAATTAAAACTATTCAACAGCTTATACCAATTCAACAACACAAGATAATTCAAATTACCAGCTGGGTAAGCCCCTAACTGTCAAATTCACACATATCCTTAAGATTTTGCTAAATTTAGCTCCAATTTTTTTCAATCGTTAATGTTGATACTGAATAATATCAAAATGTAATGATTCATGCTTACCTGTTCAAGAACCTTAGCGTTGCTATTCTCCACTTTCCTGGCCAAGCTATCAATCTTAGCCAACATCTTCTCATACAAATTCTCCAAACCAGCAGTATAATTGGAAGCCTCCGATCCCATCAACCGGCTCAAACTCGAAACTGCAAAACCCTCTGCACACTTATCAAGTTCTTTCTGATCCTTAGAAACGTGCTTTAATTCACTTAAACTGTCCTCATCCTTATCCTCATTCATAGCCGATAAGCTACTCGTCTCACAATTCAACATCGGCAATGGCGAATTAGGGCTGAATGATTCATAATGCCCCCGGAACGCCGGTCCTATATTCACAATATCAATGGGTTTGGGATCAAACGACAGCGTCGACACACGGAACTGGTAAGCCCGGTAATCGTGCGTGTGAATTAATTGGTCTTGTAAAGGAGTAGCAAGTAAAAGAAAAACACAAGGAGTAAGGTTTATAGGACTTTCTGAGTTTTTGATAGGGAAAGAGAATTGAGAATTTGTTGAGAGACAGCGCGACACTGAAAATTCGCGCATTGAAGGGCGGATAGGGGTTCTACGGCGGCCGGAGAACCAGCCGATAAAATGGTTGTGAGATTGAGCGGAGAGTAATCGGAGGAGGGAATACGAATCCACCCGGCCGAGTGAGTCGTAGAAGGAGAGAGGGAAGCTAGGGCAAAGGAAGGAAGTGATAGTGGCGACGAGTTGAAGGGAACCGGAATCGGAGTGAGTTTGAGGAGAGTCATCGGAGAGAGTGGAGGGAGTGATGTGGTTGACGTGGCCGAAGAGGAGACCGTCCACGTCGCCGAGAGAGGAGGAGAAGCGCTGTATCATGGAGGCTAATGTGGGACCCGATATTGCCACCTTCTGTAAAGGAAGGTCATCCATGGCACTACCACAACTCCTATAAGAGAGAATGATAGAGAGGGAGAGAGAGAGAGGAGGGGTGAAAGAGAGTTCAATTTGAAGTACTGAAGGGGAAAATGGAAATATTGATTCTCCTAGATTTCGCTAACCAGGAAAACGTCACCGTATCAGGGCTGGCTCTCGCTCTTATATAGCTCAGAGCTCGTAAAGCTGTAATCAATTTGCGAAGCAAAAAGTTTGGAGTTACAGTTACCTGAAGACAAAAAGTTAGTTAGAGGGTGTGTTCTGTTTCTGTCTGGTGCTTAAAAAATAATAAGACAATATAATTAAATAATTAAATAATTAAATTAATTTGTTTAGATTAGATTTATTGTTTAATAAAAATAATTTTTTTATTAAAATGAAAATATTTCTGATTATTTATTAGAAAAAGAAAAAAATAAAGTAAAAATAATTTTTAAAAAAACCTCTATTTTGATTGATTTTGTAATAGATTAATAAATTGGATCTAGACAAATCTAATTATAAATTATTTATGCTGAATTTATTGTCAATTTTAATTAAAATTAAGTTATTTCCATTAAAGAAAAAAAATGTCATAAGAAGAATTGTTGGGAGATTTTCCTAATTAGGGTTACAGAGGTATGAACTTATGATAGAATCCATTAGTAAAGCTGTCATACAGTTTAATGAGTTAAATGGTTACAGTTAGAGATAAAAGTTCATTTAAAGACATTGTCAGAGGAAAGGTGAGACATTTTAATCACACCAACTTGATGTATAATTCATGAAATAACAAACAAACAACTCATTCCCATCACTTTAGGCTAAAGCCAGAATGGTGCAATCTGCATATCATCTCTTTTTCATGTCATTTTCATGTGAAAGGTTAACTGGATAAATATTTTAGGACAGGATATTGGCAAGTTTAAACTAAAAAATATTAATTAAACTTCTGCAATTTCATTACTCTTTAACACAACTCAGATTGAAAGAATTACATTATTTTTCCAGACAAAAAGAATACTCTCGTAAATTATATTTACATTCACTAACAAAAAAATAATACAATGAATGAAAGAATTTGATGACTATTTCCTAAAAACCTTGTAATAAACTGGGCTCAATGGCTTTTTATTCTTGAACTTTAAAAAACTGTTATTCTATGAACTCTATTCATCTGTTGGTGGTGGGGCTTTGGCTCCATCATCAGCAGCCAAATCTGGCTTGATTTCCTCTAGTTGCTGCAGAACTTGTTGAACTTCAGGACGAGCTGTTGGCGATGGATCGACACAATGTAAAGCTAATTTCAGTGTGTTAAGCAACTCATCACCTATGGTGGGTGCATCCTTCATAAGCTCCAAATCAAAGACTTCATTAGTCCACTCTTCCTTCACTATAGATGCAACCCACTGTGGCAAATCCATACCGTTTGTCGGCTCACCGGGTGATTTTCCTGTCAAGAGCTCCAGAATGATAACACCAAGGCTATACACATCAGTCTTTGTGTTCACATTCTTGAGCTTTGAGAGTTCGGGTGCACGATAACCAAGTGTTCCGGCTGTAGCAATCACATTAGTATTGGCAGCAGTTGTCATAAGCCTAGAAAGGCCAAAGTCTGCAATATGAGCATTGGTTTGCTCATCAAGTAGTATGTTGCTTGATGTCAAATTCCCATGGACCATATTCTCTTCTGTGTGGAGGTAGTTTAGTCCGCGAGCAATGCCCATGGCTATGTTCATCCTTGTTGGCCAATTGATGATCATCTCAGGTCCTCGAGCTGCATTAGAAAAGATTTATATGTACGAAAATAATTGTTTTGACGGTTAGCATTAATGTTGTATCTAATGTGTGAACGTAAATGGTAGTGCAGATACATAGTTTAAGAATTGATTGTGGTTGAATTTACTTACCATGGAGGAAGGATGCTAGACTTCCTTTAGGCATGTAATCAAAGACAAGAAGTTTCTCTCCTTTGGGTCCCAAGTAATAGGCTCTAAGCGCTAAGAGATTTTCATGGCGAATCTTTCCAAGTCCAGCAGCCTCAGTTTCAAACTCCCTCTGCCCCTTTGTAGTCTTTTCTCTCAACCTTTTCACAGCAACTTGATTGCCATCTTCTAATGTTGCCTTGTATGCTGTTCCATAAGTACTTTTCCCCATTATCTCCGCAGTTGCACACAACAAATCATCAGCTGTAAACACAAATGGCCCATCAAAATGGACTAACTTTCCACCCATTTCCCCGCCTGATTCAATTTCTGCACCGCCTGCCGCTCCTGTCTTCTCAGTTTTCCCTACAACTGCCCTTATCCCTGTTTTACCATTCTGTTGTTTCAAAGAAGCCCTTTTTCTCATCAAACAACAGAGCAAAATGCAGCAGAGCAGAAGTAAAACTATTAAGAGAGCACCAGCTGCTATCAGGATAATGTCCCTAGCGCTAAGTCTCCGGTGATGATGATTTTTCGCTGGCCCAACTGTGGTTGGAGACGGAAGAATGACAGGTGGAGGAGAAGGACAAGGAGTTGAAATGCTATAGCCGCATAACTGAAGATTCCCAACAAAAGAGGTTGAATTGAATTTTTTTGAGAGAAAAGAGGGAACAGCACCAGAAAGATTATTATAAGAAACATTGAAAGAAGTGAGATTTAATAAGCCTGAAAGTGAAGGTGGAATTTCTCCAGTAAAATTATTTTGTGCTAAATCAAGTCGATAAATACTAGAAATGTTTCCAATGCTTTCTGGTATGGGCCCTTTGAATTGGTTATTTTTCAGGTTAAGCACTGAAAGATTCTGTAATCTGTCTACAATTTCTGGGATTCGGCTGTCAAGGCGATTATTTTCAAGATTCAATAAGACTAAAGAAGAAAGATTGAAAAGGCTAGGTGGAAAGCTTCCATTGATAGCGTTATTTGAAAAATCAAGCTTTTGCAGCCAAGAAAGTTTCCCTAATTCATCAGGTATGCTACCAGAAATCTGATTATGACTTAGAGAAATCTCCTTTAGCAAAGCTAACTTGCTCAAACTCATTGGAATCTTTCCAGAGATAAGATTATGATCAAGAGTCAATAACTGAAGTTGGTAAGATTTGTTCCCATTTTGCCCCCAAGAATCCGGAATAGAGCCAGAAAGATTATTATGTTGCAGAGCAAGGAAAGAAAGAGAAGGAGAGCTAGTAAAACTAGATGGAATAGAACCGCTTAAGGAATTAAAACTCAAATTAAGCCTATATAACCTTGTAGAATTAGCAAGACTGGGAGGAATTATACCAGTAAGAGAATTATTACTTAAGTCAAGAGTTTGAAGCATAGGAGAGTTACCAATTGAAGGAGGGATAGAACCCGATAGGCGGTTGTTGAATAGATAAACCCCCCTAAGATTTGGAAGGAAACCAAGAGAAAAAGGGATATTACCAGCAAGAACATTATCATGCAAACTAATTCTTCGAAGCTCTCGAAGCTGACCAATCTTTTCTGAGATTTTACCACCAAGTCCCTTCCATGGAAGCTGAATAGCAATAACCTGTCCTTTAGCACACTTGATTCCTGCCCAACTGCCAGAACAAGCACCATAGCCACTGTCATTCCAGCTTCTTAAAACCCCTTTAAAGTCAATTAGTTCATTTTTTATTGCTCGAAGAGTGTGATAATCTGATTGGGTTACAATTACTCCATCCCATCTCTGGCTTGAAGCAGATTGAGAGGTTAAAGATAGTAGAAGCAATAACAGATGGGTATAAAAGAAGTATTTGTTCTTGAAACAATGAATATCTTCCATTAATATGGAAGAGAAGCAGAGTTGGTGAAGAAGAAAGAAGAAGAAGAAGAAGAAAGAGAGTCCCAAGAATGTACTTCCTCTTTGAGCAGTGAAGGAGAAAGTTTAAGAAAAAGGAAATAATTCGGGAAGAGTGAGAGATGGGTTTGATGAAGAGTGAGAGCATGCGAAGAGAGGTGACAGAGGAGAAGGAAGTGTGAGTTGAGCTTTGAGATTGATGAGAGTGGAGAGAGTTATGGTTTTAGTTTTGATCGTAACGGCTATTTTTATTTAACAATATTATGTTCCTGAACGGTTATTAGCTGAACCAGTCATACCTGACCGGGGTCCCTTCTCCAACGGCCATATTTCTTACTGGTACAAGTACACGTAAGCTTGGTCAATAGAAATATTACAATCTTGCCATTGGCGTGGCAATGCCTTGTGACTGAGGATGTCTTAATATGTACGCCCAGTAATTAGTTTTTACCTTTTTAACTTATAAAATAGTAATTATAACTTTTTTTTCTCATGAAAAGCTAATAATCTTTTATTCTTTATTTAATAAGAAATTAATCTCTCAAAAAGAAATTAACAAAATAGAATTCAACTAAATCTTTTAGACCTTATGCTGCTTTTCTTTGCTTTGATTAAGTGATTGTTGCACTATGTCTACTAGTAGATAGGCCAAATGCGCCAAGGTTGGATTGTTTATCAAAGGAAATGTGCAATTGAACCTTTTCATGAATTGTTTATCAAACAATACTGTAGTTTTATGATAAATGGAAAGGAAGATTTCCCATTTTCTGAAGCTCGGGTATTTTAGGGCACCCACCACATTTCTATCCGAAATCCATTCTGATCCATTTAACGAATTCTGATCCATTTAACGAAATTACGGATTGTTACCCATAACAGATAAAGAATATCAGATACCCGCTATACGATGAGGGATACCAATTACCCGCTATACAAAACGGGTTTGATCATGATCATGAATATATGCAAGCACTCTACCCATTACTTGTAACAAGTATTTTAAATAAATTTGAATTTAAATAGTTTAACATTTGCAAATATCCTAAACGAGTTTGGAATAAATTCGGATAGTAAAATTCTAAATAGATTTGAATTTAAATGAGTTTATACGGATACAAACAGTAAAATGACGTTAAACAAAAATATCCTCATAACACATTTGTGTTATGAACTTCAAAAAAAACACAAATGTGTTGTGGAGAATTACTGCTATAGATCTCAATAAATTCAACATAAACAGAATATAGTAGGATAATATATATATATATATAGATAAAAGAGTTTCATATAGCTGCGTGTTACTAATTTAGGGCCATGATACATTCAATTAGAACACTGCATAGTTCATACCCAAAAGCTAAAACCTGAAGAACATCCTGTAATGTGACTTAACAAGAAAAAGTTGACAGTATGAATCTCATTCAATTCTTCTCATAAAGAACACATGGATGCACAAGATATAATCACAATATTGAAGAATGGCCACTGAATTATCCATATAAAAGTGAGCGATCTTGTGAGAATTGCAATGCCCATTAATCCAGAAGTACTAAATTTCATAAAGTGAAGAGAATCCCCTACCCTAGTTGGTGATTAAATTAAATAGAACAAAAGGAACAAAACTAGGCATCATCATCACTCATGAAATCATATTGCATTCATTCACCATACAACAGACAAGGTGTAAGTGAGCATTTTGTTGCATTGACTATCTCTAGCTAGAAAAAATGAAATATGCTATGTTAAAGATAAATTATCAAATGGCACATGTGAGAGCCAAGCTTATAGCACGCCAGCCCTCAAATAATGTCTCAGTACAACTTCACTACGTATGGCCCTGAAATCTCCCATCCTAAAGGTAATAATAGTTTATCAAGTCCACCAGCAACACTACCCATTGAAGCATTTGGGAACTAGACGCCCAAAGCAACACATAAATATTTTAAGCAAATGGATGGCAACAAACTATTTCATCTGGAGATAATAGATCGGTGGTCATACCACTAAATTAAGCAATACATCACTGAATTAAGGCATGCATTATAAAAATAAAATTAAAAAAAAAAAAAAAGCATCATCGATATGGCCATTGCATGATTATGAATTGTAGTTAGAATATATAGCTCACATATCAATGGTCCAGTAACCGAAAACTAAATTAAACAAGCGCAGCTATAACCCATGGTTAGTACACATACAAAATGACAACCAAAACAACCAACAGTTTACTTGATGTGAACAACTGGTATAAACCCCAAATGCATACAGATTCTGTTCGGAATTTTTTCAATATATCAGAAAAAAATATATTATTGCACAAAATACAGAACGGTCAAAAAAAAAAAGAAAATAATTGTACAGGAAGAAAGAAAGAATTTATTTTGATGATATGTGAAGTAAATCATTACAGCTTGTACCATCTAAAGTACATACTATCAATATAAAATTTACAGACTCTTTAATAAAATATAGAATCTCAAGCAAGAGATCAAGAGATCAGAGATCCATACAAATTTCATGAATATCAAACTAATTATAAAAGAAAATTCACCAAAATATGAAATTGATATTTATTCTGTCTACCAAAATCTATAAACTTCATTAATCAAATGTATACTATATTACCAAAATCATCGGCTTCTCGATCCGCCGAATCAAATCAAATCTGTCCTTAAACGCGAGCAGCAACGACAGGGGCAGCGGCAGCGGCAGCATTGGAGGCAGCACCACCAAGGAATGACAAGAATCCAGTAGCAGCAGCAGGCTCTTGCTCATCCAAGAAAAGGTCCTCAGGAACCCTAAACGCACCATGCGCACAAACAAGAGCCAATCCAACCATTAGAGCCGAGATAAGAACAGATCCAACACTGGTGAGGAACACGACAACCACGCTACACACAATGAGCAACCCGAGAGTTTCACGATCTGTGAAGGTACGGCCAAAGAGGACCACAGGCTGATCAGATGGACGGAAAAGATAGAGAAATATCCACGAGGAGAGGAGTCCAAGGAGAAGCAAGAGCGACAAGGGATGCGAAAGCAAAGAGAAAGCCAAGATCGAGGCAATGACGGCCAAGTAATTGACACGAAAGTACGAATAATTCTTGCGAACGCGTAGGGTTGCCTCAGATAAGGATTCAGGCTTATTAAAAGCAGACCGGTCCACGAGTTCGGCCCAGGGGCGACGCTGAGAGAAGCCGTGGCGGACAGAGTCAGAGATCTGATTAATTAGGGCGCGGAAGGCTGGCGTGGCGATAGGAGGCTGAGATTGGGCGGAGGAAGCGGTGGAGGTGGGTTGGGGATTGGAAATGAGGAGAATGGGAGGAGAAGGGGAAGACATTGTGTTTGGCCGTTGAGAGAACTATGCGAAATTGCGAATGGTACAATAATATAGCGAACGAAATACGCGTAAACCAACGAATCGTAATAAGGTAGATTTTTCTTTTGGTATTTTTTTTTTTTTTAACAGGTGGTATCTCACACCTGGGCATCGAAGTGGGGTGAGTACCTTCTCGGTAAAAACACATTTAAAAATTTAATTTTTTATTTTAATATAATTAATTAAATTTTTTAAAATGAACATAATTATTGAGAATCACAGCATCTCTAATTTATTTAGAAGAAAAATTTACAATTTCAAGAATTTCAGCATTTTTAAAAGACCACATTAATCATTGATGATATTCCACATTTTAATTTTTTTAATATAATATTCTAATTATAAGATAAAGTTCTTTATTTATGTATCTTTTAATTTTGTAAAACTATTAATAATTAATTTTGGGCCATGGTGGGAGCTCGCGTCGCCGCTGGCCAAGTGAGGAGCAGCACTAGGGTGAGATTGATAAAAGAAAATAATTAGGTACAGGAAGAAAAGAAAAGAATTTATTTTGATGATAATGTGACAGTAAATCATTACAAAGCTTGTACCATCTAAAGTTACATACATATCAATAATAAAATTTACAAGACTCTTTAAATAAAAATAAGAATCTCAAGCAAGAAAGATCAAGAGATCAGAGATCCCATACAAATTCATGAATATCAAACTAATTATAAAAGAAAAATTCACCAAAAATATGAATTGAATATTATATTCTTGTCTACCAAAATCTATAAACTTTCATTAATCCAAATGTATACTCATTATTACCAAATCAATCGCTGTCTCGATCCGCCGGATCAAATGCAAATCTGTCCTTTAAACGCGAGCAGCAACGACAGGGCAGCGGGCAGCGGCAGCATTGGAGCAGCACCACCAAGGAATGACAAGGAATCTCAGTAGCAGCAGCAGGGCTTCTTGCTTCATCCAAGAAAAGGTCCTCAGGACCCTAAACACGCACCAATGCGCAACAACAAGAGCCAATCCAACCAATTAGAAGCCGAGATGAACAGATCCAAACACTTGGGTGGAGGAAACACGGACAAACCATGCTACACAACAATGAGCAAACGAAGAGTTCACGAATCTGTGATAGGTACGGCCAAAAAGAAGGACCAAAGGCTGATCAAGATGGACGGGAAAAGAATTAGAGACAATATCCACGGAGGAGAGGAAATTCCAAGCGAGAAGCAAGAGCGACAAGGGGAACTGCGAAATGCAAAGAGAAAGCCAAGATCGGGGCAATGACGTGGCCAAGTAATTGACACGAAAGTAACGAATAATTCTTTGCGAACAGGCGTAGGGTGCCTAGATAAGGATTCAGGCTTATTAAAGCAGCTCGCTCCACGAGTTTCGGCCCAGGGGCGAAGCTGGAGAGAAGGCCGTGGATTGCGGACAGAGTTCAGAGAGATCTGTAATTAATAAGGGCGCGGAAAGGCTGGCGCGGGCGATAGGGGAGGCTGAGATTGGGCGAAAGGAAGCGGTGGAGGGTGGGGAGGGAAATGAAGGAGAATGGGAGGAGAAGGGAAGACATTGTTGTTTGGCCGTGAGAGATACTATGCGGAAATTGGAAATGGTACAGATATATAGCGAACGAAATAAAAAACCAACGAATCGTAAATAAGGATAAGATTTTCTTTTGGTAATTTTTTTTTTTTTTTAACAGGTGGATCTCACACGCTTGGGCATCGAAGTGGGGTGAGTACCTTCTCCGGGTAAAAACACATTTAAAAATTTAATTTTTTATTTTAATATAATTAAATTAAATTTTTTAAAAATGAACATAATTATTGAGAATCCAACAGCATCTCTAATTTATTTAGAAAGAAAAATTTACAATTGTCAAGAATTTCAGCATTATTTTAAAGACCACATTAATCATTGATGATATTCCCACATTTTAATTTTTTTAATATAAATATTCTAATTAATAAGATAAAGTTCTTTATTTATCGTATCTTTTTAATTTTGTAAAACTAATTAATAATTAACAATATAATTATATATATATATATATACTATATATAGTATTATATATACGTAGTATGTATTTTAAGCACTAGAATTTAAAATTTTTATTAATGAATTAATCTAAAATGTTTAATAAAATTTTCAAATGCCAATTTTTAAATTGTCCCCTAATAAGTTTTTTAGAGCGTGTCACAATTTGTTTTTTAAAAGTGCTTCGAAATTAATAAATAAGAGATAAATAATATATATACTTCTTTTAAAATGTTTGACAAGCGTTCCGAAATATTCAAGGCGTTAGAGCAACGAAGTGTTGAGTTGTCCAGCAATGCAAGCGGCACGGCATAAATATAATTAAACCTTACGAGGTGTTTGTTCGACCTTCCAGGATATGTGTATTATATATTTAAGACTAACATTTTTAAAATTTTTATTAATGAATTAATCTAAATGTTTAATAAAATTTTCAAATGCATTTTTAAATTGTCTAATAAGTTTTTTTAGAGCGTGTCACATTTGTTTTTTAAAGTGTTCGAAATTAATAAATAAAATAAATAATATAATACTTCTTTTAAAATGTTTGACACGCGTTCGGAAATATTCAACAAGTGTTGTTGTCAGATGCAGGCACGGCATAAATATATTAAACCTTACGAGGTGTTTGTTCGACTCAGGATATGTGTATTAAAAATTTAGAAAAGTTACAATTTTCTCTCTATATTTTACCATAATTGACTAGCTTACCCTTGCATTTCTAAAAATACATTATTTTACCTATAACTCTTGATTACCTTAAGCCCATATGTCCTTCTATCCAAATTTTGTATTTTTTTTCCGTTAAATATTCTATAAAAATAGAAAAATGCCCTTATTTTAAGAGCCCCATCTCTCCTTTATCTCTCTCTTTCTTTTGTAAATTATTTTAATTTTTTAATTATCGATTTTTTCTTAGTTCTCAAATTGGACAAAATTCAAAACTCAATCAAATAAATTCCTTCATTTGTATTTTGATCAACCTTCTTCATTCACATGGATTTTAAATTTTCAATTTTCTAAACTGATTATAAAGAAGCAAAAGAAAAATTAAAAAAAAAAAGAAAAAAAAATGTCAGTCTCTTTTCTGTACTTCAAATCGCTGTTTAAGCCATGGCATCCTCAAAGTCAATCACCTTAAGAAGACAAGGCCAAAAAAAGAGTCAGCCATGGATCATAAGAAAAAAAATCCATTATTTATGCTCCTTTACGGTTTTCCTTATATTTGCCTCTACCACCTTCTGTGAGGAAATGAAAAATACATGGATGCTCAGTATCAGTAACTATATCCAAACCCAAAGCATGATCATGCAAGAGCTTAATTTGTAAATTTTTTATAGTAATCTATAGCTATCAGTATAAGTGAGTTTGGATGTGCATAGTTAGCGTGTTTTGTCAGCTTATTAGACCGGGACTTTACTTAAACCCAAAGATTAGACCGGCACTTTACTTAAACCCAAAGATAGCTTAACAAGAAGAGAAGTCTGAACCATACCAACGAATTAAATTCGTTTAACATACACGTGCAGGCACGTACCTCGAATTCTCACATCTTTTATTTTATTTTATTTTATATCATTCATTATAATTTTTATATATTTAATAAAATTCATGATAACACAAAATTAAAATTACAAGTGAACTACATATTCTGCGTATTTGAAATTATTAAGATGATTAATAAATGGATGGACAAGATTCAGGTTTGTCCTATTTCCATTATTTTTATTTTTTATTTTGCCACCATTGTTCTTATATTTTGAAATAAACGTTATGGCAACATGATATGACGTGAATTACCAACTCTATGGATTGCCACTTCGTAAATTAGAATATGAGTCGGGCATGATTGTAAGTTAATTGTTCCTGACCCAAACTTCAAGCCCTATTGTGATTATACTCGAACTAATAATAATAATTATTATTATTATATTGTTGATTAAAACAAAAAAAAAAAAATATTTTTTTTATTGTCTCTCTCATATCTATTGGTCTTTTAGTCCCTCCCCCCAAGTCGGTGCGCCAAAAACATGACTTTGGCCACCTTCACCATCAGGCATCAGCCGAACCTTCCTTAAAATGAAAAACTCCTCCTTTCTCTTAAGTAACGCGTTACATGCACGTCATGGCTTCTGGCTATGGCCAAACTTCAAATTTGCATTTTCTTCTTTTAAATAGCTAAGCTTGTTTTAGCGGCTACGACTTGTGGCAATTCTAGCCACGAGTTGCAGTCGGTGAATTTGTTGAAGAAAGTGCCCGAAATCTTAGATGAATTTCATGGAGAAACGATTTAAATATGAGGAAATTAAGAAATCAACAAATCGTCATGAAGCAATTGAAAAACAATAATTTTGGTTGGGGCTTTTAAGAAATATTGGGATTCTTGTTGTTGCTTGGTTGAGGCCAGTGGCAAAGGATGGTTATGTGTTATGAAGCAGTGGCCATCTAGCTCAATTTTTTAAAAAATTTTGGGAAAAAAAAAAATTATTTGGCCCCTTTTAACAAAATATTCCCTTTTTTTCTCTTTTGCACCCAACGTATCCCGACTCTGTGATGAAAGCTCAACGACTGGAGAGAAATCTGAATGCTAGTCTAATTTCTCCTTTACTAATTGCAATGGACTTAAAAATGTGAGGCAGTCGCATAAAAACCTATACCTAGTTCAAATAACTTTGGAGACACGTTGGGTTCACAAAGCAAGGCAAGCAAGCAGCAGTTTTTCAAAGAGCATAGCTTTAGAACACACTGGGTTTTACTTGCAATCTTAAAATCAAATAATTCAACACTGAGTATTGGCAATGCCAAATGAACATAAAAGTTTTTACCTTTTTTTTAACCCCTAAAGGAGCCACGGGGTGGAAGCATCTAATTTCCCAGACATCACGTCTCCAAAGAGATATAAAACGAGGTAATATCCTACCATATAGCCAAGTTTTATGATACGACTACATCACCATAGAGATACAGCTTTCTGATTGATTGCATCGAGTTTGTGGGCAAACAAGACTAGAGGCTGAACTTAGAAGGTGGAACCATTCCATCCAAAGTTGGAACCCTGAAAAATAAAATAAGAAGCATCAGTACCCCGGTAGAAGAAATTATTGCTGTAAAATTGCTGCTAATGTTTAACATAATCGGACAGCAAGCAAAATCTGGATCCTAATGAAAAGTTAATAACTGCAGAGTCTCAAAAACAGAAAAGATTTATTTACATGATCTAATGCTGGTGTAAAGCGTGCAAACACTGTGCATATTCTTGACTTTGATGGGCCTAAACAAACACAAGAATGCAATGAGAAGACACATGCACATGGCAATGACCCATCTTGTTGACAGTTATAAATTGAGATAGCTTGCCTTAGTGTCATAAAACTTGAGGAAGAATCGTGATTTGGGAACTGACAACTTTGTCTCCAGGATTGTAGCAATTGCAGCACTCAGTTTCTTGTTCACGTCAGGATTAAGGCCGCCAATGGACACCAACTCGCCATAAGCCGCTGGCTGCTCAGTTCCACCAAATGCAATAGGTACTGATCCCTTCAACACAATCATCACATACTGCACAGCAAGAAACACAATATGTGGTAAAAATTAAGCAAGCATCAGTTCATCTGAACAGGTTAAGAGAATGAGAAGGAAAATTATTATCAACACAACATTGAAGGAGGGGAATTGGAGTTATGAAACCAAGATTACATTTTTTTTTTTTTTTTTTCATATTAATAGCAACTGTAAGTTCTGATCGGAGCCCATTTGGAGGACTATGAGGAGCGATCCACTGTCTAAAGGTGTAATTATTTACTTGTTCTCTTATTAAATAAAATAATTTAAAAATGATTTAGAAATAATTTAAAAAGTATATTTCAATTCTAAAAATACCAAAGTAGATTATGATGCACGAATACACTGTGTTATTATTTAAATTAAAACAAAATATTCTGAAATTAAAATTTTGGGTTGTTACATTAAGTCTTGTACTGTACAGTAAATATACTAGAGAAGAACTTCTGTTAATTCACATTTCAATTGTCATAGTGAACAAGCCAAAAACATAACCGCTACTAATGCAAAAATGCATCAACTGAATTAGTTAACTCAACTTATTACAACATAACCCTTCAGGCACCTTGCACCTTAGACCACTGGAGTTTTTAACATAGCTGATAGCCCCTTAAAAGAAAGGCATAGCAAAAGTTACACACTAAAAATGCGGCAAGCCTAACTGCCTAAGTAAATGAAAGCAGAAACAGACCATCCAAAAAACAACTTATACAATCAGCATTCACATAATTCAACTAGATGCAAGAGCATTCTTCAAGTGATTCAGTATTATAGAATAAACGCTAACTGCTAAGAAACAATACTGTTATGAAACAACAATATCATTCTTCCCATGTCTCAAACATTCATTCAATGATGCAAACTAATAATTAGCAGTTGCAGACACATATCATACAGCAAGACAACTAAAACATGGCCTAGAACATAGAAAATGCTAGGATGGTGCAAAATCTGTATACGCATAGAGACGCAAAAAATACAATATCATCACGTGTATTTGAAACAGCAATTTCCAAAACACAAACAAAATTAACAAGTCTGATGAACGGAAGAAAACAGAATTAACAGTAATAAACTCGCATTCGCCCCCGACAAACAATCATCATTTCGTGCTAACACTTCAACCACCGAGGATCAAAGTGTGACAAAAAGTATACATTTCAACAACCAAATTGCGCAAGATACATATTCTATCCACAATCTTAATCAACAAGACACTAAGAAGGAAAAATAATCTACTCAACCCTACTGGCGTTTGCTGGGGGAGGGGATTTGAACTTAGACTATAGACATGCTCTAAAAACTGATGAAATTTCCCTCGAATCCGAGATAAAACTAGAGCGATACCATCTTAATTCAATTTTATCGATCAAAATAGAAAAAAAAAAAAAAAGATTATAACACGCAATGAAATAGGGGTGGAGGATTTCTTACGGCCTCAGGCTTTCCGATGAGCTTGGCGACGGTGGAGGTGGCTTCGGAGAGGATGGCGGAGGTGTCAACGCCGTCCAGGGCGACGTTTGTAGAAATGTTAAGGCAAGGCATCTTCTCGCTTTCACTTGGACTTCGCACGCTCTTCACTCGGAAACAACTGATTTGCTACAGTACAAAACCCTCACCTAACCGTTCTAACTATTATCTACACGGCATCCACCCGCTTATAAAGGACAAAGAAGGCGAATCGTCGAAAACACCCTTGTGTTCTTTTACTAAGAACAGGCCGAGTTTCGGCCCAAGGCCCATCACAGGACATTTTCTAGCCCATCCATGGTCTGTTAGCTTATTCGGGATCAGGAGAGAGCTTATTTGGGGTCGACTTACTATGGTGGTGGTTTTTCTATTTTTTGGTTTTTTTTCTTCAAATATGAAAAAAAAAATTATCTTTGAAATTTTCAATTTTTTTCTTATTTGGTATCTTATTTTCAAATAACCAATTTTCTTTATTAAATAGAATTTGATACAATTAGAAAGCATTATAAAAATAGAATTTCTGAATAAATCAGATGAAAGAGTATATTTGAAAGAGCCATAGGAGCCTTATCAATGCTATGATATCCAAATCCCTTCTTGATAGTAAAATTTTAACAAACCTTTTCTGGAAAGCAAATTTCAATATGAATTGAATCGCTGACTGTTTGAGATTTGAAAAAAAGAAAAAAAAAATGAAATGGTTAATGAAATTAGGTTTGAGATTTTTAACTTACTTATTCATGTTGTGGGTCCCTCCAACACATGGGACCCACATAAGTTTGAAGGGAAAAAAAAAAAAGGGAAACAAAACACCTGTTTTTTTAAGGGTCTAACAAGGCTGCAGACAGAGAAAAAAAAGGAAGAAAATGCTGCAGCCGTGGACGTCCTTCTCCTGACAAAAGAATAAGAATACACGGTTAAGTTTAGAGAATTTTAGGAAAGGGTTCTTAAAATTGGGATCTCTTTTCTAAAATTGGAAAAGAGAAAAAATAATGAGTATTATAATTTTTGATGTGTTTTTTTTGAAAAACACTTAGAGTGCCACTATTTTTGTAATTTTTTTTGTACCTATTATTTTTAGTAGAAGAATTATTCGGATTTTTTGTCCCGTGGACGTAGCCCATAATTTAAAGAATTTTAGGAAAAGGGTTCTTAATAAATTGGGATCTTCTTTCAAAAATTGGAAAAGAGAAAAATAATGAGTATTATAATTTTTTGATGTGTTTTCTTTTGAAAAACACTTAGAGTGCCACTATTTTTTGTTAATTTTTTTTGTACCTATTATTTTTAGTAGAGAATTAATTCCCGGAATTTTTTTGTCCCGTGGAGTAGCCCATAAATAGTTTGAAAGTTGAACCACGTAAAATCTCTGTGTTCCTATTTTCATCTGACATTTACGGTAATTATTTAATTTTTATCGTGATTAAGTTAATTCTGGTGGATTTTTCATCTGACATTTACGGTAATTATTTAATTTTTATCGTGATTATTATTTCTGGTGGATTCGGTCGTCAATATCCAATACGTAATTATTGGAGGTGAATGTGGTAATAGTAATTTAAATTTTTATCGGCGCTATTAACTTTTATCGTCGGTAATTTTATTTTACTTCTAGCACCGGCATTTTTCACGGACCCCACTCGAGATTAGAGCATTAATCCCAACAATTCAAATTAGTTCAATTCTGAAAACTGATTCAATTTAATTAAATTAGTTCAATTCTGAAAATTGATTCAATTTAATTGCGAACGAAGTTCAATTTGATTATACAGAAAAATAAATTTTGTATAACCAATTCATACGTCAAAGGGCAATAGGGATTATACCTTTTGGTTTAAAAAAAAAAAAATTCCATACCAATTTTCAACGACATTCAACCCAAGAAGAAAAAAAAAAAATAAAGAGAAAACACAATTTCTTTTTGATTTCTACAATTTTTTTGACTGATCAAACAAAAATTATCAAATCAACTTCACTGCTACCTTCTCCATCCATCCGCTTTTTTCTTTCTACTCTAGTTTTATCTCTTCCCCCAATTTCTCTCCATCAAATCCTCCTCTCTTCTCTTCCTATTTAATCCTCATTTTGTCTTCTTCTCAATAGATCCAAACTTTGAGTCATCAATTATTGCTTACATTTCATTTCATACTGTTTGTAGAGTTATCAATGAGAAATTAAGCAATTTGGTGGATTTGAAATTAAATTTGAAGCATATAATTGTAGAATTTGGTTGAATTTTTTTCCCCAATCGTATGTAGAGTTTGATGGAGAAGAGAAAAAGATAAAGAAAATTTGGATTTTAAATATTTTTCATCATTTTAAAAAGTTAATCCATATAACGTCTACTTTTAACTTTTTATGAAAAGTTATTCAATTAAATAATTAACAGTTAAACGCTACTAAAACAGCTAATTAATTTTGACGAACAAACCCTTTATAAAGATATATGTGAAGAAATTGAATTTTTAAGATTTAAAAAAAAAAAATATTGATTGTTTGATTGAGAATCAATAATTCTTTCTAAAACAAAACTAATGCAATTGACTAATTAAGGATTTAATAATGCAAATTTGTATTGAATACAACATATCACCAAGTCATTATAGTTTAATTCAATCACTGATTAATTATTATTGTTTGCTTAATTAAATATAATGCAACTTACATTAAAATATGATTTATGATAAAGATATTCTATCCATTATTTTTAATTCCACATTTAATTTTGTTGAGTGCAAATAGACATTAAAACACATGAAAATAACGTGATTAACAATAATTAATCCACACATAATAAACTAATGACTCTTATTAAACTAAGAACAATACAGAACATATATAATTAATTAAAAGAAGAAGAAGACAATATTAATGAATATTATTATAATTTAGAGGCGGCTGTGGTGTCAAAAACTTTAAGGAAAAAACGAGATCTTGGGATAGATAACTTGTTCTCAAGAATTAAGCCTAATGTTGCAATAAGATTTCTTTTGACTTGTCTGGTTATCCCTCCCATTGACACTATCTCTGCATATGCAGCTGGTTCTTTGTTTCCATTGAAGGATATAGCTACCTCTCCCTTTAGTATCACCATCACAAGCTGCACAACATCAATATATTCTAAACATTAATAGTGTGGGTTTATAACCAAGTGGGATGAAAAGAAAATTGTCAGGCATCAAAATTGGGTAGCACCATCAAGAATTTGTTAAAAAAACACCTTATCCTACAATATTTCAACTCTGAATATTGTGCCAATAATCAAAAAATATAAAAAATTATTATTTAATGACTTAAATTTAAGAAAATGTATTAAATTACATTTATCTAGTATTTATTAGGCATTAAAAAATAATACTCCTCCTACCCATTTTGTTTGCTTGTTATTCCTTTTTAGATGTTTTAAAATATTTGCAAGATTTCTAAATTTAGACATGTAAATAATTATTTTTCCTATAATAACCTTTATGACTCGGTTGAAAGAAAACTTTTATGATTGTTCATTAAATGAAATATTTTCATTAATATCTTAATGAGTTAAGGATAAAAAGGGTAAAATAAATTTTTTTGACTAAGTTTTAATATGCGTGTTTTGTCAAACCATGCAAATAAAATGGGAGGGAGGGAGTATAAATTTATATTTAATTGTTGTATTTTTATAAACTAAAATCTTTAGTTGATACTGATCAGGTGTAATTTGGTTGATGTTCTTACTTATGTGAGGAGTGAGAGATTTTGAATTTGAGTTCTTTTATGAGAAGGCTAAAAGATTTTTTTTTTTTAAATGATAATTTATTTATTTAGCTGCTAAAAAAATAAATATATGCATGTGCACGTGTGTGTGTGTGTATAGACACATTAATATATCATATCAACCAAAGTGTTCTTCATACAACTAATGAGCCTTTAATCTAATGGCAAAAAACCAAAATTGAGGCCCAAGGAATTGGAAATTTTCTAGTATTTTATCGTAATTGTTGAGTAAATTTAATGACATTTGTTAATTTTGATTTTGTCCAATTAATATTTTAATTAATAATATAACATGATGTGATGTAAATAATATAAATTATATTCCGTTTTGTTCCATGATTCTTGTCCTATTTTTCTGTTTTTATTATCTGTTTTAAATTGTTGGCCTATTTCATTTTTTAGGAGTGAATAATACTTAAATTTTACTACTTTTCCGTTATTTAATATATTTTTTTTGTCTGAATAAATATAATAGTCAAAATATTGTATTATTATTATTATTATTACTTAAATTTTGATATTTAAACAAAATTAAAATATAAGCTTTTAATCTTCTAAAAAATTTTATTTAATCAAATGTTTATAATTAAGAAAATTTTAATATGAATAATTTAATTTTAACAAAAATTAACATATAGGTATATTAGGAAAATACAAAGAAAAAAATTATAATTTAATTAAATTAATTTATTTTCTTGGAGTTTTGCAATCTTTTGTTTAAATAATAAAGAAAACCTCCGACATATAATACTTATCGCCAAGAAAGTTACTTTTTCTTCTCTCTTTTCTTTCATCTTCGTCAACTATTCTAATATTCTCTTCTCTCCACTTGCAACAAATACAGCCAGGCCAGCCATTAATTTCTCATCCTAGTTGATATAGAATTAGCTTATTATATCAAACTCAAATATATTCCATTTTCTTAATTTCAAAATCAAATTCATCAAAAAAAAAAAAAAAAAAAAAACTCAAATATGTTCCCATTTTTCTAATTTCAAAAATCATTCATGCAAAAAAAAAAAAAAAAAAAAAAGAATAAGCCATAAAAAAAAAAAAAAAAAAAAAAAGAATAAGCATAAACAGATTAAGCATCAAGAATGAGAAATGAAAACCAAGAATCAATTAATTTAATCAAAGAAATAAGAAAAATAGAGAAATCAAGAAGAAAGAAAGAAAGAAAGAAAGTGAGTTTATAATAACAACAATAATAATAGTAATACTCACATGTTCAGGTCTGCCGATGATGGTAGCGACGGCTTTAGTGGTTTCGGAGAAGATGGGATCAACATCGACGCCGGCGAGGTTGAGGTTAGTAGAGATGTAGAGGCAAGGCATGGTTTTATATGTGAATTTGACGATCTTGCCTTCCTCTTGACTCTTATTTCCCTTCTCTAAATAGAGCTTTGCTTTGTTGCTCGCTGATCTGGTAAGCTTTGCTATTCTGGTTAATTTAAATGTAATGGTTGGCTTTTATAATTGAGGATTTAATAAAAAAAGAAAAAAGAAATACTATCATATAGTGGATAGTTTAGTTTCACCCACTGCACTGGGTCCATTTGGAGCTGGATTGGCACCTGGCGGTCGTAGGACATGAAAAACGGTAATGCCAAAACTTTGGGCCCCAAATCCAAACAAATGTGCACTGATTCTTCGTAGATAGACTTGTTTTTTTAAGAATGTTGAGTGAAAGTGTAAGTGTAATTACCACTGTAATATGTTTTGACGTGCGACTTACTTATTTTTTATATTGAATCACAAATCTAAAATAAACATATTATTTTATGGATAAAATTTATTTAAATTTATATACGAGCATACTGTTTCATATATTTTTTTCAACAGTGACATTGTTAAGACAAAATGATAAAGACATATATTTTTAATTTTCTAAATAATTAATATTTATTAAATGAAAATATCAAAATGATAAAGACAAAGTTGAAGAAAGTACTTGATGCTATGCTCAAAAAAAGAAAGTACATGATGCTTATGTGATATTTTGAAATAATAATTGAAGTGAAAAAAAAAAAAAAAAAAAACTCCTAAAAACTCCTAAAAGATCCTTATGATTAGGACGAAAGTTGTGTATAGATTAAATGAATCGAATTGATTGGAGGTTATTATTAAGACGGAACCAAAAGGTCCTTCTAAAGGTTTAAGTCTAACGCAGTCGCTAGGAGCCAAAGATTTTTTTTTTTTTTTTTAATTAAGGAAGGTCAAATAAAAAATTAAAATTTTTAAGGGAAAAAAAATGAAATTAGAGCACCCCCGACCCTCTTCCTCCCGGCTAGCTATTTGATTTATTGTTAATAAAAGGTTGTTTTTATGTATATGGATTTGTTTCAATTAATGTTTTCTTAAATACTGGACTGGGATATTGAAATGGATTGTGATGAGATCGGGTTCGACTCGGTTCGACCAAAATTTTTATTTTCTTTTATTAAAAGAAATTTCTTTAGATAATAAAAAAAGAGGGATCGTTTGTTGTCTCTTAAATAAATAGGGTTGAAAACTTCGTAATTTTAATGTCAATATAACTGATCCATCTGCTTGCTTTTGGATTTTAAAAGTATTAGAATGCTAATCAAAATATTTTCTCCACTTTTCTTTTTTTCCGTGCTAGACAATAGTTATAGAAAGAACTAAAATCTAGGGAGTGAACTAGTATTTTTCGTTTTGGCACACTCCCATATATTACATTTCCTCTATAATAAAACAAATGTCAATAAATAATGTTCCAATTAATATTCATGCTATGCTATATTAATTTTTTTTTATAATATTAATAAAATTGTTTGGCGTTTAATTTAGTGATAAAAACCAATAAAAAATTCTAAAAAAACAAAATTTTTAAAAAGGATTTTGGTGCAAGTTTTGATAAAGTAATAATTTTGAATAATTTCAAAAAGTGAAAATTGCACTTTGTTAGACAGAGAAATGTTAATTGTAATCGTAAAGTTGATTGTTTAGTTTTGTGAAATTCATTTGAAAATTTCAACCTATTTTTAATAGGATTTAGTGTAGTCATCAATCCATTCTATGGATTGAAATTTCTAGAATTAATTTATATATTTTTCATTCAAACACAAAATTATGAATTTCTAAATGAATTTCAGTAAATTTTTATGAATTTAATTTATTCCACAAAGGTAACTAACATTTATCCTGAATTAAATGCATATCAAACCACGTGACTCAGTAAGTGGAGTATATATGTTTCTCAAAAATATGGGACAAGGCTACAATATGACATTATACAAAAAAAAGCCATAAATTGAGCAACTACCTTGGCGACGCAAATGCCTTTGGCGACCATATGCACCACGTTTGTAACACTGTAAGGTTGTTGACACCTTAAAAAATAAATATTTATAGTTATTTATTTCACTATTTTTTGTTTAATTAATTATATTATTTTTAATAATACCTTATTTAAAAATGTATTTATACATGTTTTCTAAACGTGATTCTATTGCTAATGCTAAGTCGACAGATGCAATGCCGTTGAATTAAATACGTGGTAAACGTTTTTCTTATGGATAAATTAAAAAATGTAATTTTAAAATATTTTCTTATGGTTTGATTGGACGAACAAAAAGAAGATGAAAAAAACATTTTTGAAATATGGTGAAAGCTGAAAGGAGATTCACTTTGAAGCTTTTACCACTACATTCAGTCAAAAATATTTTCAACCCCTCAAACCTTCCAAAAAATTAAAAAACAAATTCTTCTGCTATCAAAGTATTTATTTATTGAGTGATGCTAAATGGATTATGATGATTCAGATCATTTTCAGTAACTGGACTTAAATTGTCATTTTTTACCTTTGGGAAATAGGATTTATGAAAAGAGAATAAAAATTTGAATTTCATTCTCTTTCCTATTAACATCTCGTTATCTAGTGATAAAGGCTTGTTTACATTTCTAAAAAGGGCTATTAAAATTTTTCCTTTTAAATACTCTTTCCGTCTCATTTTATTTGCCTGTTATTCATTTTTTAGATATTTCAAAATGTTTACTAGGTTTCTAAATTTGTATATTTAAATACTCTTTCTAAATTTGTATATTTAAATAATTATTTTCCATAATAAACTTTATGATTGTTTATTAAACGAATGACTTTTATCGATCTCTTCACATAGAGGAGATGAACCCTAATTATCAAGCCAAATGGCATACTTCACTACCGATTGAGCTAAGTGCTCTCATCCAACATTTTAATATCTAAAAACATAATAAAGAATCATCCTTGAATGTACTTCGAAGTGGAGTTCCATTTATTATTAATTAGGTTATGAATTTCATTTCATTATATCTTGATATGGGATTAAGGTGCAATTAAAATGAGATTATATTGTACTTACAACTTTGGTGTAATTTCAATTTATCTCAATTAGGATTTTCAATTCAATGTAATTAACTAGAATATCAAACTAATTGATTTCAATTACTGTTTAATTTCAATATATTTCAACTCTCAAGCGGGATTTTGTCTTTGATGTCTCTAAATCAGATTTCCAATTGAATTGGAATTATACGTAATTACTTGTGAATATATGAAGCAATTTACAACTAACTAAGGTATAGGATTCTATTTAGTTATCAATCGAACGAGCTCCAATTAGGACACACGGTGTTTAATTAATTCTCATCTCGTGTGATTAAAATTGAAAATATATGTGTTTACTTGTAAATATATGAATCAATTTGTTAGTCGTAATGAATTAATGAATAAGTTTTTATTTAGATATCAATTGAATGAGCTCCAATTATGCCACATAATTTTTAATTAGATACCATCATATGTGATTGATATTAGAATTATATGATTATTTGTGAATATATGAATCAATTTAGCTATCTATCGAATGAGTTCCAATTAGGGCACATGGTTTTTAATTGGACCTCTATATGGTTTCAAATGTAATTCTTATACTCATTTTTTTAATTGGATGTGGAATCCTGAAATCCATTAAATGATTTATTTTATTAAACTATATTTAATGTGTGATTTAAGTTAGTATATTATTTCCAAATTGCAACGAATAAGGTATCAATTAGGCACGTAAGATTCAAAATGACATATCAAATTCTATTAAAGTATTAATTTTATTATGAAATTTACAATATACATTAATTGAGTAAAAAAAAAACTGATTTTGTGGAAAAAAAATTAATATATTATTTTTAAATGCAATGAACAATGTATCAATCAGGCATGCAAGAATTAAAAATGGCATACTAAATTCTATTGGAGTATTAATTTTATTTTGAAACTTACTAAATATATCAATTGGACAAAAACATTACTAATTTTATGGGCAAAAAAGAAAAAGATATTACTTTCATAATGGAAGATGCTTAATTTGGATGGAGCTATATTTCTTTTTTTTTTTTTTTTTTTTTTAGAATCATCCTTGAATGTACTTCGAAGTGGAGTTCCATTTATTATTAATTAGGTTATGAATTTCATTTCATTATATCTTGATATGGGATTAAGGTGCAATTAAAATGAGATTATATTGTACTTACAACTTTGGTGTAATTTCAATTTATCTCAATTAGGATTTTCAATTCAATGTAATTAACTAGAATATCAAACTAATTGATTTCAATTACTGTTTAATTTCAATATATTTCAACTCTCAAGCGGGATTTTGTCTTTGATGTCTCTAAATCAGATTTCCAATTGAATTGGAATTATACGTAATTACTTGTGAATATATGAAGCAATTTACAACTAACTAAGGTATAGGATTCTATTTAGTTATCAATCGAACGAGCTCCAATTAGGACACACGGTGTTTAATTAATTCTCATCTCGTGTGATTAAAATTGAAAATATATGTGTTTACTTGTAAATATATGAATCAATTTGTTAGTCGTAATGAATTAATGAATAAGTTTTTATTTAGATATCAATTGAATGAGCTCCAATTATGCCACATAATTTTTAATTAGATACCATCATATGTGATTGATATTAGAATTATATGATTATTTGTGAATATATGAATCAATTTAGCTATCTATCGAATGAGTTCCAATTAGGGCACATGGTTTTTAATTGGACCTCTATATGGTTTCAAATGTAATTCTTATACTCATTTTTTTAATTGGATGTGGAATCCTGAAATCCATTAAATGATTTATTTTATTAAACTATATTTAATGTGTGATTTAAGTTAGTATATTATTTCCAAATTGCAACGAATAAGGTATCAATTAGGCACGTAAGATTCAAAATGACATATCAAATTCTATTAAAGTATTAATTTTATTATGAAATTTACAATATACATTAATTGAGTAAAAAAAAAACTGATTTTGTGGAAAAAAAATTAATATATTATTTTTAAATGCAATGAACAATGTATCAATCAGGCATGCAAGAATTAAAAATGGCATACTAAATTCTATTGGAGTATTAATTTTATTTTGAAACTTACTAAATATATCAATTGGACAAAAACATTACTAATTTTATGGGCAAAAAAGAAAAAGATATTACTTTCATAATGGAAGATGCTTAATTTGGATGGAGCTATATTTCTTTTTTTTTTTTTTTTTTTTTTTATTTCTTTTTTTTTTTTTTTTTTTTTTTTTCATCATTATATCCTCAGCTTAAGCTCATGACACTTACTATGTTATTGAAGTCATTAATTAGCAGTGTTGTATTTTCTATATGCACTTTTTTTTTTTTTTTTTTTTTTTCATCAAATTATATCCTCAGCTTAGCTCATGACACTTAACTACTTTATTGAAAGTCATAATTAGCAGTGTTGTATTTTCTATATGCACTTAGAGAAAAGTTCTCAATGTGGTTATCATGCCCAATTAGTGACGAATCCAGAAAAATATTTTCCGGAGTCAATGGAAAAAAAATACATATATATCAAAAAGAAATTAAGAAACCCCTTTCTATAATGTAGATCCGCCACTATGGCCAATCTTATAAATAAATCAACAACATATCTATGTTTATATTTTTATAATGCTTAAGTGTAACCATGTAATAATTCATTATATGAAATCAATGTTGTAATAATTCATGCTTAGATAGAATTGAATCTATATTTTTCTAAAAAATTAAAAAAAAATTGATAAATGTTGTTTTATTTTATCATTAGTTTAATATCCCATGCATCTACAATAACCACATCATCCTCATTATCTTGTAATTCATTGGATACAAATTATTTTTAGATTAAACTTATCGATTTGCTGCAGAATTACTCTGTTTTGACCTTTACACCGTGAATATCCTAATTTTGAGAACAAAAGTTTTCAATTAACTCAAGGTTAACCTTGATAAACTAAACCCAAGGCCCTCTAATGCCTAAGTTCCCCTTTTAAACCCTGTAATTTGGGATGTACGCAGTAGGCTCTTTTAGATACAAGAGATATAAGCATGTAACAAGCCAAATGATTACCAAAAGGATAAAAAGAATGGTGCATATGCATATATAACAAACATATCTAACCAGTCGATACGGGAACATTTTTTGTGTCAAAGGACTAATCCAATTTTCTCTTGTTGTGGCATCCACCAACAACCCCATGATAGCTATTGCCAAATGCACTCACTTTAGTTCATTATCCTGTCCAAACCCATCTAATATTTTTTTTTTCTTTGACAAAGCTCAGGTTTTTGTTTATTTGATGAAAATACCTCGTTTATCTTGTTTTTATACAACACAAAGTAAATTATTAAGAATTAGTATTTGCTATTAAGTATATGGGAGAAACTTAATTACCTCCATGGCCCCACTTAGGACCAAATCAATGAAATTAAGTATTTTTATTGAGACGAGAGTATTTCTGACTATACACTTGGAAAAAAAAGAAGAAAAAGTCGAAACACTTTTTAAAAAAACTCTAGTTTCATTTGTTTGGTTCGTAAGTGACATTATGGACCCAGTCTAAGCTAGTATTTCTTAATTCAATAAGTATCTTTCAAGACTGAATATATAAATTCATCCTTAAACTTTACAACTTTAATCTTGTGACACTTTAAACTTTATAAATGATAGGTTTAATGACCTATCATGCACTTAGACTTGTAAAGATAGGGCATAAGTGCATCTCAATTGGTAAGCCTTATAAAGAGTATTAATAATTAATAAGCATAGAAATTTATATGAAAATTAATTAAACCTCAAATATCTCAATTCTTGCCAACCAAATTGCATGGTCTTAAGCATAATTTCATTGTGAACTTTCGGTAATTATCTTTCTAGCGATTTTCTTAAAGTTTAAGGGCCTCAAGAATAATAAACGAAATTTAATTTTAAAGTCAAATTCATGTATTAATAATATCCCTATTAAAATTATCTAGAGTAGCTCTCTCAGCACCAATTGGTGATGGGCCTCTAATGCTCAAGTTTGGAGCAAAAGTATCCAAACCATAACACAAAGACCCATTCAAAAAGAAGTCAGTTTCTAGAAATTCAAAAATTAAAGGAAATTCAAGAAGATCAACACCATTTATGTGAAGTAAATGTACTTTAACCCTTTTATCATCGATGGATAGGTATAAGAGGTTGTTGGAACAAGAAGAAGGACTAAAGAAGCAATAGTGGTGGCTATGGCGATAGTACAAGTGGATGCTGCCATTGTTTCGTCTTTTTCTTTTTTTCTTTAAGTCAAGTCTTCAAGATTGCTTATACATAGAGACATAAAAAAGAAATGATTCGCTCTGAGAATGGGTTTCTCAACTTAAAGTTAAAAGGACGAGATAAATGGGAAATAAGACTAAAGTGCAAAACATGCTTTAAAAAATAATTAGCAACGGATTTAGTACACAATACAAATTTGGGGCCATCAAAATTTAGATAAAATACTAATTGCCAACAGATTAGAAACCATTCACTGACCAATTTTAGTCGATTTACCGACTAAATGATGATCGATAGTTTACCAATAGAATAATATTAGACGGTAGAAAATTTACCAACCATGAGTTTTTAATCACTTATTTTTCTTTAATATTCAGTCGGTTTTTCATTTTATTTATAGAAAATTGAATTTTGCCGATAAATATAGAATTCTTTGTAATAATATAAAAGTGTATAAAAATATTAAAATTATTGTTTCATATAAAAATTGATATGTATCTATTCAACATTCTTTTATTATTAAAAAGGTGAGTTGATTCAAAATTTTAAATTCACTCTGGCTTATATTCTCTAGATCGAGTTTATTTTCTATCCAACTCAATTGATATTTCAATATTTAGCATACACTATATATATATATAAATCAAAATATTTTAGTGGGAGATCACGACCCAAAAACAAAAAGGTGCAAGAAGATGGAACAAAATCTCAACTCTGTCCCATAACTCAATATCCTTTGAAGGTTTTGAGGGGTCAAATTTATGGTGCCTAATGCCTAATAATTTCTCGTGTTTGAAACCAAGAAAATTCTCCGCCCACCTTATTCTAGATATGGAAAAAGATTATGATTGTGCATGTATACCAAGAATATGTTCGGTGAGTATCAAAACCCAGATGGTGGTCCCTTGAGGCGTTGACAGATATGTGTATAGTGGTTTTTATTCTTCCACAAGGCTATAAATAACAGACTTGAAGACATGGAATTTGCATAGCATCATATACATGAAATTAATTAAGGAAGAGAGGCATTGCATGAGAGGATCAGAGTCTGGTGTTGGTGCCAAGGATGAATTGCCCGCAAACACTTTTTTTCGTTGGTTTATTTGCTTCAGCCTCCTTTATTTTTTGGTTTTAACATTAGATCAGCCCATTAAAGAGTAAAATACTCCTAGAGAGTATGTACTCTATCCATGAATGTAAAACTTTTGACCTCACTTAAAAAGAAGAGTGTCAAATCACTCATCTCAATTGTTCGTTGGTTGCATTAGTCTCCTTTAGCAAAATATACAGATGATTTTGGTTATTTTGCGGGCAGCTCTACTTGGTATTGACCGTCTCTTCCTTTTCTCATGCTACGCCTTCTTTTTCCTCCCTAGCAATACCGGGAAAGTTTAATTTTTCTTCCACAATTTTTATTTATATTTTTAAAATTATACGTACGGATTCTCTTTTTATTTTATTTTTTATTTTTAACAATCTCAATATTTAAAGTTTTAACTTCCCTAATTAAAGCTTCAATTGAAGAAGAGAGATCAAAAAGCTATGACCTATAAACTTTATTGCTATATAATAAATACGTAATTGGAATTTATTTGATATTTACTATTATATGATTATACATTTTATAAATATTTTTCTAATAACTTGCATGGTTAGCATTACGGTCAGTGCAAAAATTCCTATGTGCTAGCTCTTTACTTGTTTTACAGAGCAAACGGGAAATATTTAGATTACAAGGACATACACAATACCAAATAACTTTATTATGATTAAAAGAATATATATATATTTGTGGGAAAAGTCAAGTAAAATAGGAAAAACTGGAAGACAAAAAAGATTTGGTGTTCCTATGATCCTATCCATATCTTTGTCAAGGCATTAAATGGTTACCACATACTTCCGCTATACTGTGGCCAAAAAGCTTTTTATCCGAACCAATTCATCATTTTTATTTTCTTTTTATTTTTTAGCTGGTGGACTTCATTAGTTTGTTTAGTCTCACTGATTAACAGAAAAAAATTTATATTTTTGTTTCGGAAAAATGGAAATGACTGCTCAGTCTCTTTCCCATGCCTCTGTATCACCACCAATCTTTCATAATTCTAAACCTTATTTTTTTGCTCATAAATCAATACCATTTCACTCTCCAAACACCATTTCTACACATCTTCAGTTTGTTAGAATTAGAGCAAGAAAGCAAAGGAATCTTGGACCTATAAACGTTTCTGAATCTGAAACTACATTCACCCAACTTCAACAAGATAGATGGCTTCTTGAACCTGCTGGTCAGTATTTCTTTTTCTTTTTCTTTTTCTTTCCTAAAATCGAAAGAATAATAAATTAATTATGTAGGTGATGGAGATTCAAGGCACATAGGGTTCAAAGTTAACATGCCAGATGCATTTGAAATTGTTTCTGTGAGTATCTAATCATATATATACATATTGATTAATTTAGATCATTGATCATTTATTAGCTATACATATGCAGAGTGAGGTGACTGTTGGTCGTCTTGCTGATAAGGCAGATGTGGTGATTCCAGTTGCAACAGGTATATATATATTGTTCTTCTTTAATCTATTTTTGGTTTTTGGTTAATCAAAGCTAATTATATATAAGTGATAGGGTTTCTAAATTTAACAGTATCTGGTGTTCATGCTCGTATTGAAAAGAAAGGAGGAAATCTGTTGATTACAGACTTAGATAGTACTAATGGGACATTCATTAACGAAAAGAAACTGATACCTGGAGTTGCTGCCTCTGTACCACCTGGAAGTTTTATCACTTTTGGTACTGAACTGAACTAATTATTGTAACTTCATGTAATTACATATATTAAGTACTTACTTAATTTCACTTTTACTTTTTTAAGATAACATAATACAGAGTGCTCTTTTCTGTTCCAGGCGATATTCACCTTGCAATGTTTCGTGTCAAAAAACTTGAGAATGTAGAAGCTGCAAGCAATCCAGAACCAGAAGAATCTAAACAGAAGGCAGAGACGAGTAGTAGCCCAGTTGAGAGCAATGAAACAAGTTAAACTTTTCTAATTAAAACATAATTGAAATATCATTTATTGTCAATAAAACTAAAAGTATTTTGATTGATTTGATTCTACTGTTCATTTCCGTCCAATTTCTATTTATTTATTTTAATTTTTTTTTTTTTTTTTTGCAATGAACAAAGTTACTTTTCTAATTAAAACATATTTGAAATACATTATTGTCCAATAAACCTTAAAAGTATTTTGATTGATTTGATTCTACTGTTCATCTTTCCGTCCAATTTTCCTATTTATTTATTTTTTTTTTTTTTTTTGATTAAAATTGAATCAAATGCTTGCCCATCCCTACGCTTAAAAGAAAGAGATCCAGATCTATAATATTCCTTTGAAATATCCATAAAAGGACACACTTAAGTCATGGTTATTAATTGTATAATCTTCTTCGTCTCTGAAAATCGAAACAAACAATATTGTTATTCCGGAGGGAAAATCTTGTTCCTGTATAACAAGAAAATGTTGGCTATGGGTGGAAGACGGGAGAGAAACTTTTCCTTTCGTTTTGTCACCTGCAACATGCGTTTGTATTTATGACCCAAACGACAGCAAAAATGGGTATCCAAGACGACTGGCCGTATCAGATGTGAATTATGCCGAAGAACATAAGCAATCCATATATATATATATATATATATATATACAAACCGAGCAGTTTCCATTGTATAGAAGCCAAGTGTAAGCCTTTAAAATTGTCAAGTATGAAAAGAATAATAATTATTTAGCACGGTTGCAAGAAGATAAAGTGTAATGACAATAATTATAAAAAGATAAATTGTTTTATAATTTTTTAAATAATGTATTTATCATGATAATAATCATGATAATATCTATTAGTTATATCGCATCAAGATAATACATTAAATTAGATTAAAATTTAATTAAAATACAAATAACTCAAGAAATAAGAAATACCTAATTTATACCAAAAGCTAGGTTGCATGGACAAATGACACGAGATACAAAACGCTCAGGATATATGATAATAAATAAACAATCATTTATAAAAAATAAAAAATAAAAAATACTTAATTTTTATTTTAATATAATTAGTTATTTTAATATAAAATATAATTAGTTTAAATTAAAATACATATCACCCAAATTATAAAATAAAAAATATTTAATTTTTTATTTTAATGATTACCTTGACGTATGGAGTAGTCTTATATACTAGAAAGTCGGCTGCAGAGACACGGCACACGAGATACGGAAATGTACGAGATATGATAATAAATAACAATCATTTATAAAAAATAATAAACATAAAATAAAAAAATACGTAATTTTTTATTTCAATATAATTAGTTAAATTCTCAAAATTATTATTACTGTTGAAAAATCTATATCTATCATTTATATAATATATAAAAGCAGAGTAATTTGTTTTATATGGAAGCCAAGTGTAAGTAGCACAGCTTGTTACTTGGCATTATTTTAGATTTTAAAATAATGGATGTTAGAATTCACACAATTTAGCACAATTATAGAAATTATAAAAAGATAAGTTGTTTTATATTTTCGAGAATCGCTCTATCAAGATAATATCTAAAAAAAGATTATCTCTAGCATTTAATTTAATATATTAATACAAATTTATTTTTTCTTACAAAAGAAATAATAAGTAATCCAGACACTTAAAAAGAGTGTGAATAAACAATATATTACTATTAAATACACCGTATATAAGCAATTTAAAAAATATAAATTGAAGCGTACAGGATACACTGATTTTTAAAAAAGTAGGATATCCACACGCTTAGAACACACTACACTAAATAAATAGTATATTAATATTTCAAATAAATAAACAATAATTTATAATAAATAATTTATAATAAATTATAAACATAAAATAAAAAATTTTAATTTCTTATTTCAATGATACAAAAAATATTTAAAAATACTTTATTTTTTATTGCTAATAAAAAAAAAAGGGATATGGAATGTATGGGATACAATAAGAGCTGAGTTGTACAGAAACGGGTCACGAGATACGAAACGTATAGAATACAGTAATTTTTAAAAAAGGTATGACATTTACTCATTTAAAATACACTATATTAAATAAGTAATATATTAATATTTCAAATAAATAAATAAATAATTATAATAAATATTATAATAAATATAAAATAAAAAACACTAAATTTCTTATTTCAATGATACAAAAGCAAATTAAAAAAAATAAATAAAGCGCTTCATTTTTATTAGTTATAAAAAAAAATCTTAATTGATTAGTTTGGTGTATGGAGTAGTCTCATATACCAGGAGCTAGATTGCACAAGCACATGATACGAGATACAAAAACGCACGAGATAGGATAAAATTTAAAAAATACAGGACATTTACAAGCTTAGGACACAGTACACTAAATAAGTAATATATTAATATTTCAAAATAAATAAATAAATAATCATTTATAATAAATTATAAAACACAAAATAAAAAAAACTTAATTTCTTATTTCAATAGTACAAAAACAAATTCAAAAAAAAAAAATTCATTTTTTATTAGTAAAAATTCATTTTTTATTAGTAATAAAAAATTCTTGATTGATTAGCTTGGTGTATATAGTAGTCTTATATACCAGGAGCTATGTTGCATGAAAATAGGATATGACAAATTTTAAAAAGGTATGACATCTACACATTTAGGACATAGTACACTAAATAAGTCATACAATAATATTTTAAATAAATAAAAAATCATTTGTAATAAATTATAAACATAAAATAAAAAATATTTATTTTCTTATTTCAATGACACAAAAGTAAATTAAAAAAAAACACTTTATTTTTATTAGTAATAAAAAAAACCTTAGTTGATTAGCTTGGTGTAAGGGGTAGTCTTATATATCAGAAGTTAGGTTGTATGGACATGGGACATGAGATAGGAAAACGTACGGATACGATAATTTTTTTAAAAAGGTAAGACATCCACACACTTTATGACATAGTTGATTAAATAAGTAATACATTAATAGTTCAAATAAATAAACAATCATTTACAATAAATCGTGAACATAAAATAAAAAAAATATTTAATTTCTTATTTCAATGACACAAAAGCAAATTAAAAAGCATTTTATTTTTATTGGTAATAAAAAATCTTGGTTGATTAGCTTGGTGTAAGAAGTAGTCTTATATACTAGAAGCAATCTCATATACCAGAAGTTAGGTTGCACAGACGCGAGACATGAGATACGGAAACGTATGAATACGATAATTTTTAAAAGTAGGACATCCATATGCTTAGGACACACTACATTAAATAAATAATTCATTAATATTTCAAATAAATAAATAATCATTTATAATAAACCATAAACATAAATTAAAAAAAATACTTTTTTTTCTTATTTTAATAGTTAATTTCTCATAATTATTATTACTATTGAAAAAATATATTAATAGCGTATATGCATTTTGTTTATATAGGTCATAACATGCATGACTTTTATTATTGTATACCTTATGAAAAATTTCGAATGATACTTGAAAAGATATATATTAACATCACAACTTTTTAGCATATCTCAATAAGATACAATTTATTATTTTATTATATAATTTTACTATTTTTGAATGATGTTAGAAAATACTATTTCATGATACATTTATTATATATTTATTAGTATAATTTTAACTACTTTTTGAAGGGTGTTAGAAATACTCATTTCTATTTTATATGGTGGACACCCTGCGGGTGCATTTGTACAATTGTGCGGATTATAACGAAGAAAAAATTCATAATTTTTCCAGACTAATTTAGTCAAAATTAGAGAAAATAAAAACTTAAACTTTTAATTAAAGAAGCAAAAACTATTTTCTATTTTGAAAATAAGAAAATGAAAATAAAGCAGAAAAATTGAGAAATTCCAAATAATTTTTGTCTTGAAAATTAGAAGGATTACACAAACAGAAACTTATAGGATAAATTTATAGGAGAAAAATTAAAATTTTACTTTTTCTTTATAAAAATAAATTTATAGAGAAAAATTAATTTTATTTTTCTTTTATATACAAAAAAAAGTAACAAAAGTTTTTCCGAAAAAAAATTCAGTCCCTTCTTATTTTTTTTGATTATTCATTAATAAAAAAATACAAAAATAAATTAAAAAACATTTCATCACGCTATACGGAAACATGTATGATACGATAATTTCATACAATAATTTTTAAAAAGAGTAGGAGATACACACGCTTGGGACACATTACACTAAATAAGTATAATACATTAATATTTCAAATAAATAAACAATCATTACAGTAAATCATAAATATAAAATAAAAAATACTCAATTTTTTATTTTAATATAATTAGTTAAATTTATTAAATATATTAGTTAATAAAAATTCTTTAAAATTATTATCAGGTGGGTGGCAAATACATTAATAATGTGTCATGGTATTTTTTTATTACAAATTGCGGTCATACAAAGGGGTTGTAAAACTGGGTGCACAATTAGAACAAGAGGACGAATAGCATTTGCCTAACACATGAAATAAAAAATGGATTAGGGTTATGAGGGATTAGAAGTTTCGTAATCATAAATGAAGTACAGGCCATTAAATAGAGAACAAAATATAAAACATATGTTGTATCGCGGAATGGAAAACGGAAACGTGGATTAGATGAAAAGATTAGACTCGTTATTATAAGAGTAAAGAGGATAATTTTAGTAGTTATTTGAATAAGTGATAAAATTAATTCACACCTAAAAAACCTCTTTTTAATTCATTATTGTTTGTAATTACTTTTCATATTATTTTAATATTATATAATCTTGAGGAATTTCGTTATTTAATTAGTTAAATTCTTAAAATTATTATCAGTATGGAAAAATACATTAATAATGTGTATGTATTTTTTTATGCAGGTCATACAAGGGGTGTCAAACTGGGTCACGACACACGAATACGATTTGCCTAACACATGAAATAAATGGATTAGGGTTGAGGTTAAATGAGTTCGTATCATAAATAAGTCACCCATTAATAACACAAATATAAACATGTTGTATCGCGGAATGACACGTGGATTAGATGAGTGACTCGTTTATTTAAGAGTAAAGAGGTAATTTTAGTGTTAGATATAAATACACCAACTAAAACCTATTTTAATTTTATTGTTGTATTACTTTTTTATTTTAATTATAAATCTTGAAGAATTTACGTATTTTACGTGTGAAAATTTATTTTTAAATATGATTGAAGTTAAATAGGTTAAAAGTTAATAATACTATAAACATGTTAAATGAGTCGTATATAAATCAACACATCTATTTAATATATGATATTAAACGGATTATACAAATTATATATGGGTCAATATGATCTACTTAAACTATTTATAATATTAAACAGATTAAATATATCGTATTTATATCAATAGTCTAATTTTCATATTATATTTATGTCAAAAGTATAAAAAATTATTTCATCTGTATTGCTTCCGTCATCGCTCGAGTTCTAACTCCGTTTAAGATAATAAAATACGAGAGTCTTTGGTTCGAAAAATAAAGCGGCGCGCCTTAGTTCGCCTTTTCCAGTTCCCGGCGGTTCCTCTTTCAAATCTTCAATCCCAATGGTTGGAAATGCACAGTAATCTTCAATGGAGCAACAAGTTTGGAGCTTGTGCGGGAAGTCTGTCGACAGAGATAAGCCTCTTTCTCTGCAAGCTCTAGCTTCCATGAGGTCTCTTATTGTTAATCCTCACACTTCCAATTCCACAATCTCTTCAATTCTTGAAACCCTAACTCACTCTCTCAAACTCACTGGTGATCCACTCACTTACCACCACACTCTCAAGCTACTCACCGACCTCGCATCACACCGTTCTCACCTTTCACCTCTTATGTTCCATTCGGTCTTCAACTCTCTCCTTTCCGCCAACTCAGTTCTCCTTGCTACTGAATCACTCGTCGCACTCTCTTCGATCTCAGAGAGCAATCAAAATTTACCAATCGAGCTTGATGATAGATTCTTTGTTTCGCTGTGCTTTGGTGCCTCAATTTCTGCACGGATGTGGCTTCTAAGAAATGCGAAGAGGTTTGGTGTAAGGCCATACGTCTTATTCACTGTGTTTTTGGGATTTACAAAGGACCCTTATCCCTATGTGAGGAAAGAAGCTTTGGATGGATTAGTTGGTTTGTGCAAATACGACGTTTTTGAGGATCAGACTGTTATTAAAGGATGCTATTGCCGTGGTGTTGAACTTCTAAAAGATGCAGAAGATTCTGTACGGTCTGCTGCAGTTCGTGTGGTAAGAATATGAACATGAACTATCCATATTTTATTTCTTACATTCAGTTGTTGTAGTTCTTATTTAATTGAGTAGATTTAGGAGGGATTTTGGGTGTTCTAATGGCAATATAATCCTTTTCCTTTCAAATTAGCGATCAATGCATAATGATTTCACCCCTTTTTGGTCAAATGTGAGACATGTGGTCCAAACTGCTATTTATCGGTTTTGTTCTCGTTGTGAATTCAGGTCAGTGAATGGGGTCAAATGCTTATTGCAGCTAATCGAGAGGAAGATAAAATAAAATGGTCAAATACAGTATTCCTACAGGTATTCTCTGAAACGTAATATATAAAAGACTGACACAGTGCACAAAGCATCCCACATTTGTGGGTACTGCGGTAGTACAGAGTCTCCCCAGCTTTTACATAGGTCACTAGTGAAGTAACTTCATGTTATATCAAGGCCACCCTCTGAAATGTAATCTGTGCATACACAAATCTTTTTTCCCTTACCTTTGAGTTGATGGTCTTTATTATGGCCTTTATGTATGTTTTAATTCTTCCGTAGCTAAATGTTTAAATTGGTTTTGAAAAGGATCTGCTATGCAGGTTCTTGTTTTATGCATTTGATTTCTTGATCAGTGGAAAATTGGTATCCATTGCTAATCACCTCTATATGAATACCCATAATGACTTTCAGATATTTCCAAAAGATGCAAGTATGTCATCTCATCTTCTTGGTCGTCTTTACCTTCATGGAATTATAATTCTGCTTACTTTTTAACATGGAGACAGGAAGTTGTACAAACTTAAACTCAGAGTATCTAATACAATGTTTGAATGTGACACTCAGACATCTGTGGGCCAAATATTTTTGTGACCTGATTTCTTTATTTATGATTGTATCATAAAACTATTCAAAAGTTTTGCAATTCCAAGCAATTATTCCAATCAAGTTCTGATCTTGTCTGAAATTAAGCAATTCTCTTTTATTACTCTGAAAGTTTGTGCAACTAAAATGCACACGATGACGTTTTTCTGCAGGTTTCAGTCTGTTTTAATCTTTTAACATTAACAACTTTCCAACCTTAAATGTCTTTTTGTTTGTACTTGCAGCTTGGTTCTATGGTAAGAGATATGAATGTTGGAGTCAGAATTGAAGCATTTATTGCCATTGGAAGGATACAAATGGTATCTGAGGACATTTTATTACAAACCTTATCTAAGAAGGTCCTACCAGTAATGAAAGAAAAGAAATCTCACAGTCTATGCACTGCAGACAGTTTAGAAATTTTAGCAGCAACTGCTGCTGGAGCGTTTGTTCATGGGCTCGAGGATGAATTCTTTGAGGTGCATTGGCTGGATTGTAATGTTGTTTTACCAGTTCTTATAATACATATAATACATATTTGAGACAACACTGCCTTTGGATTCTTTTTTGCTGTCCAAATTGATAACAAATAACAGTTACCTTTGCTACAATGTTTTTTTTTTTTTGGTTTATATTGTTCAGTGATAGTTGTTCGAATACCTTACCTGTCTCTCACTTGTACTTGCTCTACATGTATGTATTATACAGGATTTTGTTGCTTTGTAGAAATACCAGAATGGAGTTTGTTGCTTCTTATTAGTACTTAACACCAAATATGCCACTTTTAATTTTTATCATGCTTATTCCCATCAGTGCAAATGCATTTTCTAATGGCTGGTCATTCTGATAATGACAATGTTGTGGTTGCCTGAAGGTGAGAAAATCTGCCTGTTACTCATTGCGGAATCTCATCATACTTTCTGCTGAGTTTTCTGGTCGGGCCTTAAACCTGTTGATGGACATGCTGAATGATAATTCAATGGTTGTCAGGTTAGAAGCTTTGGAAACAGTGCATCATATGGCAACCTCTGGTTGTCTAACTGTGCAAGAGATGCACATGCATATGGTGAGTTTGTTCTTTCTCTTCAATCCTCTAATAGTTTTGAATTTCATAGAGGAATTAGAATCCATGACGTCTTCAATGTACTTAGTGCAGTAATCCTTTTGGGGAGGGTGCAATGTTTCTATTATGAAGTGAATGGAGCATATATTTAGATAGTTCCAGATCATAAAAGAATCAATCATTGTACTCTCATCATAATGGATCAAGCACATTGAACACATACATTCGTTAGAAGTTACATTATGACATCATGATAGAAGTTTAATCCCAGGTAGAGTTGGATGTAGTTATGGATTCATGTTGCCGAACCTAACTGTTTTGGATTGAGGTGTGTTTGTGTTGATGCTATACTGCAGTTCTATTATAATGATAAGTAGTTTGACTGTTAGAAATACAAAGTTTGTATTACAAACCAATTATATTTTCTTATGAATCTACAACATTCTTTTTATATGTACCATTCTAATCTTTGAAAATGATGTCTTTCTCTTTACTGTCACATGCATAATCACCTAATCATGCAAGCATTACTTTATTTTGCAGTTTCTTGGCACCTTAGTTGACAGTGACGATTTAATAAGGTCTGCTGCGAGAAAAATTTTTAGATTGGTGAAGCTGTCGTCTTTGGAGTTATTTAGACTATCTGTTGAGGGCATTCTTGAGAGTTTGCAGAAATACCCTCAGGTCTGGAACTCACTGCCTTACTTCTCTGCATAACAATTTGTATGATAATTTCTAATTCTCCCACTCAGCATACTGGGGAGAATTTTTTTTTTTTTTTTTTCTAAAAACATAAAAAATGTTCTGGGATATTCCTTCAAAGAAAAGGATCATCTGATGCATGATGTACTTTTTCTCTTATTTTCTTTAACTTGTTAAATTCTTTGTTTCTAGGAAGAAGCTGATATCTTCTCTGTTTTGTTTTATATGGGTCGAAGCCATGGGAACTTTACGGCCTGCTTTATTAAGGAGGTTTCTCAAGAGGTTAGCCTGGTTATATATGTGCTATACAATCTTGGTAACTATGCATACTATTCTGTTTGCCACGTCATTAATATGGTCTTTTGAATTTTCTATATAAACATTGATGGTGGTCCAAATTTTGTTCCTATTCAGAAAATTCATCTTTCAGAATTGGACATGAGACATTTAATTAAATGCTTCACTGGATAACTATTTGATGATTATGTTCAAAGTCCAAACAGTAATAAGAACTTCGAAAATTCATGTCATACATGCATCTTATGTTATATACAACATAGAAAGTGGAAAGCCTTAATTTAATTCCTAAATTCTGGTTTTCTTGTTAACATCATCTTTTATAAATGGAAATTTTGTAAAACGTGGCAGTAGGTAATGGTTGTAGATAAGTTTTTAAGATGTTGTCATAATGCTGCCTACTTCTGTGCATCTAGATTTTTGTGTAATAAAGAAGCTATACAAAATGATATATTCATAGAACTGATATACAAAATAATTCATAATCAGCAAATTCCTAGCATGTTTTCATACCTGCATGAAAAGTGTTCTATCATGTGTCTTTGATATGCTAATTTCAAACTAGAGAAATGTCTTAGCATATATAACCAGAGTCTTACTACCTTCAGCAGCAGGAATTTTTCTCCTGATTTCCTTTCTGCTTCTTTTTTTAAATAGCAGAAGATTTATTTTTGTTCCAATCAAAAAGCTAAAATTTTCTAAGCAACAGATTTTAACCCACCCGCTGCCCCCCCCCCCCCCCCCCTTACTACCTTCAGCAGCAGGAATTTTATTTCTCGCTGGGAATCTTTCTTTTCTGCCTATTTATTTTTATAAGGATAGGCAGAAGATTTATTTGTTGTTTACCAAATCAAAAATGCTAAAATTTTCTAAGCAACCAGCATTTTTAAACCCCCGCTGACCCACTACAAGACCCATAGGCGGCCCACCCCACCCCCCCCCGACTTAAAAGGACAAAAAAAGAAAAAGTTTGTTTATTATATGCTTATATTTCCTTGCTGGGATTTTGCACAAATGTTGGATATCCATTGCTCCAATCTTGGTGGGTGAATATTCATTCAGATAGAGCCAAGGCATTCTAATGACATTTGGGCCCCTAAGATCAGCTCGCAAAGAGTGGCTTGCAATATTTCTTGTACTTGTAGGATTCTTTCGGCTCCACACTCAATGTAGAATAGAATGGCAAGTATCCACCTAGATTTTTCTCCCCCCCCCCCCCCCCCCCCCCCCCCACCAAAAAAAAACAAAAAAAAAAAGGTTTATTATATGCTTCATTTCTTGCTGGGTTTTGCACAAGTTGATATCCATTGCTCCATCTTTTGATATTCATTCAGATAGAGCCAGATTCTAATGGACATTTGGGCCTAGATAGTGCAAGAGTGGCTGCATTTCTTGTACTTGCCATCTCGGCTCCACACTCATGTGATCAGAATGGCCAAAGTATTCCACCTAGATTTTTCTCGTATGCAGTTACATTGCTAGGGCGGATTTCTTCTGCTCTGAGAGATGTTGTGGACCAGAATACGCTTTTGGAATATTTATCTCAATGCAGTAGATCCTCCATTTCTTCTGGCATGGAAATTGAAGAGGAGGAATCACTGCTGCCTTTAGTTAATGCTGATGTTACATCACATACTTGCATGGATGGTAGTAATCCTGTTGCAATGCCCGTATGTAGTGGAAATTCTGAATTTCAGCCTGTGTTATCCTGTGAAAATGGGGATGCAGTGACTTTACTTGGAGAATTCCAGCAGGAAGAGAATGATCAAGTCAGGAATTCTGTGAATCTTATCCTTGCCAAGGTCAAAGATATATGGCTGTTGGTACAATCAAGATCCATCAGTGAAGCCCTAAATACCATGAGGTTGTAATCTGGTTAGTTTTTTCTTTTTCTTTCCTATGGCTTGCTTATCTTCTGTATGGATATCCTGCATATTCTTTTTTCATGCAGGGCTTGTAAGAAAGAGTTGGCAATGTTTACTCCTGTGTTGCCTGAACCTTCTGCTTCATTGGCATTTACTTTGCAATACCTCAAGGTAATTAAACTGCTTGCTAAGATAACAGGGCACATTATGCGGAAGGTCCAGTCTTATGAAATTGGAGAAATAGAGATTCTCTTTGGTAAATTAGAAAGGAGGCTTAGGGAATTGAGGTGTAGGTTTATAGGGCTTTCTAAAGAAGAAGAGTCGCTTATCTTTGAGCTTATAGTTGTGGCATGCATACTGAGGTTGTGCAAACTTGAAGTTTGTTGCTACCTTGATACTTTGAAAAAGCTGTCTACTACAATTTCACTTTTAGAATCTCTTCACGAGGAAGGATCTATCGAATTGTCCAATTTTGTGATGGAAGTTAGTAAAACTTTGCCAGAGATAGGCACTTTAAATGGAGGAGTTTCCTTTTGTCCCCTTAGGTTTGCGAATTTGATTAATCACTATTCTGTTAAGCAGTTCAATTTATATGGAGTAAGGCATTTATCCGGAGCATTGGATGTTCCTGATAATGATTCTGAAAACCCTCTTCCTTTTGTCTTGGGCTTACCTGTAGCCATACCTTTAGAGATTACTTTACACAATGTTTCAAGTGATGCTAGGTTGTGGCTTCGGATGGCAATGAATGAAGAGCTGGTTCAGTTTGTCTTTTTAGATTTGAACATTCTTGGAGGCTGTGATGAGGTGAAGAAACTTACATTTACTGCACCTTTTTACAGAACTCCAAGAGCAGGTTCCTTCACATTAAGAATTTGTGTTGGAATGGAATGCTTGTTTGAGGATGTTCATTCAGTCAAAAGCCTTGGAGGTCCGAAACATGCATTAGTATATATTTGCCCTGAAAAAGAAGTTTATCTGTGCTCAGTTTAGGACTAACTGGCTTTGTGACGATGATTACACCAATTTTTCAAAAGCCACACATTGATTACTAAACCCAAGCCATCTGCTGGCTAGAAATTCATGCGTCAGAATGACTCGTGTATGGAACTTTGATGTTCCTTCTGGTGGTCATGGAACTAGCTTCATTCCAGAAGGGTCCAGATCAGCTTTCATGGTAATTTAAATGTGTATCATTTGTCAGGTTAAACAGAATGAATTTCTTCCTCTTTGATATCGGTTCTGACAAGAATTCTTTGATGACAGGAACTTGCTTATTTCCCATGATGTTCATTCAAAAAATGTTTCCAATTACCCGAATGGAACTTCCAAAACTATTCTTGGAAATTTGTTGAAGTTGATGCTTCGAAGAATGTGAATTGTATAATTATAACAGTCGCTCTATGAAGGTACGTTCCCGCTTCATGATATGGTGTCGACTATACTGCCTTTGTGTTTGCTACGTTGGCTTCTTTTGGCTTCTTTGTGTTTCCATAGAGAAGGCAATTATAAGTTCTCCATTAGGTTACGTTTACAAGTATATCATTTATTTACCAAATATCATTCTTCTCCCCTGACTTATTGCATGTATCATTCAATAAAGAGATATAACAATATAAATTTTCCTATTATCAAATTAAATATCATTTTTATAAAGAAGTAGAATTTTAAACAGGTATGCCTGCTTCTGCCTTGCTTTTAAATTTCTGCATCACTTCTACCTTGGTCGTAATGGAAAGGGATGTTAGTTGCAAACCCATCATGCCTCTAACCATTGCCATGCTTACAGACTCGCACAACGCGAGCGAGGACATTCTATTCATCTTCTTCAGTGGTGTTTTAGATCTCCAGCCCCAAGTTTGACCCTTTTTCTTTTCAATGTTTATCCTGCCTTTGTTATACAAATCCCTTTTGGTTTTGTAGGTAACTAATAAATATATGTGTGTTCGTATCATTGCTTGAATCAATCTGGAGTCAGTTTTTATATTATTGGCATTGCTGCCACAAACATGTAATTGCCAAATCAGCTAAAAAACCAGTAACAAACATGGGAAAATTACAGAACAACCTACAAAGTTTAACCACAATCACAATCAACTATTTTACAATTGCATTTGGAGCTTTAACAATTAACCCCATAATCAATTCATATCATCAAAATTGAAATAACTGACTGCAGGAAGAACTTATCCTCCCGAGTGGCAGTAGTTGATGCAAATCTTTCCAAACTAAGACTTGCGAAATCGTTTAATTGTCTGTGGTAAATGTTTTGTCATCCAAGATCTTACGCGGCTCTGTGATAGGCAAAATAGAAGCAAGGAATTGAGGCAAAGGAGAAAAAAGTAGTACCAAAACCAAATAGGCCATCTAATTCGTAATTTGCCAAAAAAAAAAAAAAAAAAAAAAAATTTTATTGTCTGTGGTATGTTTTTGGTCATCCAAGATCTTAGCGGCTCTGTGATAGGCAAAATAGAGCAGGATTTGGAGGCAAGGAGAAAAAAGTAGTACCAAAAACCAAAATTAGGCATCTATTCGTAATTTGCAAAAAAAAACAAAAAAAAAAAAGAAATTTTGATTGGATCGACTCAATTAAAATTTCAAAAGATCAAAACAGAATATAGGAATGTGATAGCTTTAGCATCATTAATTCTTATTTGAAGAAATATTATTATGGTACTACATTTGAATTACTGTTAATTGAGACTGTATTAGGATAAAAAAAAAAAAAAAAAAAAAAAAATTTATGATGGATCGACTCAAATTAAAATTTCAAAGATCAAAACAGAATTATAAAATGTAATAGCTTTACATCCATTATTCTTATTTGAGAAATATTTTTGGTACTCACCATGAATTACTTTAATTGAGATATTAAATGGACAGGACTGTGATATAGCCTGTTTTTAACTGATTAGTCATCATTTAGAAGCAAAGACAACTACCCCTACAGATGCAAGAGGCACAGAGAACAAAAGTATTCCTCCACATATTGGCATGCAGACATCTGTGTTCACATCATTCGACGATTGTAAGATCATTAGCTCCCAAGCCATCCTAACAAACAGCAACAAGTTGACAGCAAAAACTGGTGATTAGCATGGAGTTTGCCATTGAAACGAGCATTGCTATATCCGTGGCCATGCCAAACATACAGGCTTGGACTACAACCCTCTGTTCTCCATGCCCATCCAAAATCAACTACTGCCTCTATGACTACAAAACAACAGCTGACAAGAAGCATCTTTTCCTAACAGCTGTCGTCATATTTTCTTGCCATCCCTGACCCTCCTTGAAATGTTCAACCTGATACACAGGGAACGAAGATCAGCACAGAATTATGAAGCTGCAAGATAACTACATAAAGAATGTTTGGTGGAAATATCACAAATACCGTGTCTAGAATGTTTTCATCAGATCTCAACCCTCCCATCACATATATAGTTTCACCAACAACTGCAGCAGCAGAATATCCTCTAGACTTGTTCATTGGCTCTCCTTCAACCCACAAGTCAAGACGTGGATCAAATACTTCAGTGCTTTGAACCATTGTGTTTCCATCAAAACCACCAAGGGCATACCTATGTAAAAAATGTTTATATCAAATGCATGAAAATATTGACGCCCGGAAGATGAGAAATCACAATCACAGCCTTCAGTGGCATAATTTCATACTTTCTAGAGAATTAGTTATTTCTAAAAATGCTGGGTGCCTCAGTTTGTTAATCTGAAATTTGAGGTTTATGTATCTCTCAAATCATTGGTATATTAATTGGATCTCATCTGCAGTGTACAAGGACTGCATTCACCTCAGACTATATTTAACATTTTTGTGTTCTAAGAAATAGGAACATAATTGAGTAAAATGAATTTCAGAAGAAGGATGAGAAACAGTGACTTTCTGAGGCAGATCATAACCTTGGAAACCTGATGTTATGTACTAACCTGTTATCTAATAAGCAAAACTATTGCCTTCTCCTACAACCAGGTGAACAGTCATAATAAAGTTCCACAAAAGCTGAAATATATATATAAAAATTAAAAAAAAAAAATGAAGAAGAATTGAAGAACTTACAGTTTTTCATTCAAAACAACCAAAGAGTGGCAGCCCCTCTTTGTGTTCATGCTTGCAATTCTGGTCCAACAATGTTCTCTAGGGTCAAATCTTTCAGCAGACCTGAGAATAAAAATGTTTAAATCAGACACCGAAAAGGATTTTCAAGTTCATACCATCAGGTGCATTTCTATACGAGAGCATATTGCCAATATCTACACCATTAAAGACATGGTCTGCTTCACTTTAAAATATTTTCTTGTAATAAGCCTCTCCAAACATTACCACCTACACTCTCAGCAGCTTAAAAAACCAGCAACAGACCATGATAATATAAGGTTGTAAAACCTACAGGCATGATATTAAATAGTCTTTCACACAACATAGCATAACTGATCAGAAAATATTATTCAAGGCAAGGTAAAGAAATCAATACTTAATTTTCTCAAGATTAGTGGGTTCAAAGACTAAAATATTGCATATAATGCAGGAGAGCAAATTGCAATTAAGCATATACATATCTCAATTAATAATTGGAGTAATGCCAGCAAGCATATGAACACAAGAGGATCTAGCAAGGAAAATAAAAAGAGGATGGCATCTTACTTCAAATAATCATTCCCATCAAATCCTCCTGTAGCATAAAGTGCACTATTGAATTCCACAGCAGCAAGAGCAAATCGCTGGAGTTAAAAAAAAAAAAAAAAAACTGAAAAACTGTTATCGCTTTAACAATGCAAAGATGTCATTATGACATTTCATCAATTGAGTCCATTGAGAAATTCTACAAGAAACCATACAAAGGAAGAACGAAAAATAGGGAAGTGTGTTGGTGAACTTCAACAAGAGGGCATAGGGACCACAAATCGCATAGAAATCAACTTGCAAATCACAATAGATTGAAGCAATAGAGATCTCTGGAAACAATCAGAAAGATGATGTTTAAGAAAGAGATTTTTCACTAAATTAGAAAGTGTTCAATTTTAATAAATGCAAATTCTAAATGTGACGTAGAGCAATTAAACTTACTATACCACTTGATAAAGAAATTATTTTATTCCTTCCAACTCTAAAGAACTGAACCATTATTTTCTATTTTATTACTACTAGGATTACATAACTTAATTCAGAAGTTACAAAGTTTCTTTCCCCCTTATAAGCTTAAATCATTACATAAAATATGAAGCATACATTATTTCTACCTAATCTCAATTAGGTGTTTGTGATTAAAAAAAAAAAAAAAAAACTGTTAATCAGCTTTAACATGCAAGATTCATTATGACATTACACATTGAGTCCATTGAGAAATTCCTCAACAAAAAAACCATACAAAGGAAGAACCAAAAATAGGAAGGTGTGTGTAACTTCAAACCAGGCATACCACATCCATGAAATCAATTGCAAATCAATAGCCTGAGCAATGGAATTGGAACCCAGAAAGATGATGTTCTAGAAAGAGATTTTTCACCTAAAAAAAGTGTCATTTTATAAATGCCAAATTCTAAATGTGACGAGAGCATTAAAACTTAATAACCACTTGATAAGAAATATTTTATTCCTTCAACTCTAAGAACTGAACCATTACTTTTCTATTTTATTACTACTAGGATTACATAACTTAATTCAGAAGTTAACCAATTCTTCCCCCTTTTAAGTTAAATCATTACATAAAAATATGAAGCATACATTATTTCTACCTAATTCAATTAGGTGTGTGAACAACGATGAACCATCTGAGATAACTACCTACACAATATTACAAATATCCATGGCAGAAGAAAATCAACATCGCTGAAAGTTCAACTTTAGGACCAATATCTTAAATTTTTGAAAGATAAGCTAACATAGTATCTCCATATGATAACAAAAATGCCAGTGGTGACAACACCTCTTTTTTGTGGATCACATATCAAAGCAATTCTCTTCTCTTTTGAGCTTTATAGTAATGTTGCATTATCTTATACTTATGTCAGATTTTGAAGCATTCAGGTAGCAACAACATTTTTTCAGTATCGTATAGAAAACATTAAGAATTTCGCAAATTTTAGTATAAGCTTGGTGTTTCGTGTTCTAAAGTCCAAGTTCACAACTAAAGCCTAAAGATCCAAGAATGACAAAAAGGTAATAATAAAGCTAATTTCTGAAAAATATATGCATCATGTTTTCTCCTGATATGTGAATTTAAAATGCTAAAGACATGTGCTGCCACATCATAAGTGAACCAAAAGAACCACATGACAAGCAATAGGTTTAACTTTTTTCACTTATCATTCTCTAGGTTGGGTGTATTGGAGGATTCTATTGACTTGGGATTATTGTTGGATTTTGATAAATTTTTCCTGGATTTCTAATAAAATAAATTTATTTTGTTGATCCAAAAAAAAAAAGGTTTACCTTTTGTAGCATCGATCTTGTTCGAATCCAACGTCCAACATCAAAATCAAGCATTTCAACACTTGAAAAGGATTCCAACCCATTCCCACCACCAATTGCAAATATTTTGTCCTTTAAAGTGGCACCACCTAAACTCCCCTTTTTCTCCGTCAGGTTTGGGCGCAAGGTCCACTGATCATTAGCTGGATTGTATGATTCAACTTTCATGCAAAACAAGAGAATTGTTAGGCATGACCAGGCTTTAAGCATTTATAAGCAACCACTAAAAGATTTGCTAAGAGCTAATACCTGAGTCATACCACAAATTGCCACTACCCCCGCCAAAAACATAAACCTCATCATTCAATTTCGCAGTGGAAGCATATGAACGAACAGTGCTCATTGGCTTCAAAGACTGTAAAACATCATTTTCAGGAAAATACAAATCTAAAGATGACAACCAAGATTCACCATCGTATCCCCCCACCAGATAAATAGACTTAGAAGTGTCCAGATCCAGATCATCAAAAGAATTACTTGCTGTATTAGTAGGGTCCATATCCAGATCATCAAAAGAACTACCTCCTGAATTATTAATGTCTCTCATGGAAGGATTGGACAGAGACTCTAACATCATACAGCGATCTTTCAACTTTTGAATTTGTTCTTCTGCAACAGCCTGAAATGCCACATGCACCAAATAGAAATAAATAAAAATGAAGGAGATGATAGGTAATAGACAAATAAAGATATGCACCATTTCCATAAATAGTATATACTAAACAGTAACTATTTTCAAAGGATGAGTAATTGAATTTTTCAAAATTCAAAAATAGAACAACAAATTAGACCTGGAGATGAGTAGGGAATGAGACAGACATAATAACCAACATTGCCAGGGAATTAGTGTAGGTGATACTGGCCCTTTTTCTTTTAATCTTTTAAAATAGATCCCTTTCTCCTTTTTTATAAAGAGTGATCCAATGCACAAAGCATCCCACATTCGAGGGCGCTACGAGTGTTAATGTATGCAGCCGATGGCCTCCCATCACTGTCAAAGACTCAAAGCCAGTTTCCTGAAACCTCTCTTTTCCCTTCCCCCTACTTTGAAAAGAGGCTGTTTCCATAGCTCAAGCCCATGATCTCCGAGTTAAAATTGGATTAACTTTATTGTTACACCAAACCACCCTCCATTCTCCCGTTCTATAATAATAATGAAAAAAAAAATTACCTTTCATTTCCCTCCCTCACTCCCAACATCTTTTTAATAGAAAACATTCACAAGTAGTATATTTTCAGTATATGTGTGTGTGTGTGCACGCGCGTATACACACACCATTTCGGATTTAACTTAATTTCTCAAGTGAAATTCATCATCATTAAAAGGCCATTAAACACAAAGAAAACCACAAACAAATGAAAATTAATAGAAAAAATTTCATAAATCCCTATGCCAAACTTAAACTAGCAATTTGAAAAGTTCAATTTCTTAAATGAATTCAATGATTCGATTTCCCTCATATGATAATTAACGATGTTGTGGATGCGGTCAATTCCATGGAATCACAGATGGTTAAATGGTTAGCAATATAAACTGCAGAGCATAGTAGTAAAAGAATTGGCAGAATACAAACTATACCAGTTTCTGCTCCAAATGACACATCTTCAACATTTGTTCTCTTTTAAAAGCCTTAAGCTCCTCCATCCCTTGCACCAACTACAGAATAGAGGGAAAACAGATGAGAATGAACACATATGAAAACAGATATAGCAGCAATATCTAAATAGGAAATAGAAGATATACGATCAGCATGCATCCTCTACCTGAGCTATAATGTACTGACAATTAGATGAGGTACAAGGGGTTTCATCATTCTTCATTCCCAAATGCATCTGTTCCTCAACAGGACCTTTCTCCTCCAAGCACATATCATTTACAGTGGCAGAATTGTCCACACAATCCCTCAAAGGCAAATTTTTAGATTCATTATTATGAGCCAATTCTTGCAGTTCTTTGAGTAAAAGATCTTCATGATCTTGCTCCACCATCTTAATGTCCAACTGGTTTTGTAGAGGCCTATCCTTGCCAGCTAAAGAAGAAGCATCCATGGAATTGGTTTTGCTACTTGATTGATTTTGGAACAATGAATTGACTGCTGTGAACCCCTCATCTCTTCTTTTAGGCACAGGAAGAGGTTTGTGAACACTTATCCAGTTTGTTGTATTCTCAGGTATAGAAGAACCAGGAGTAACTGCTAGCGATGCTAGTAACGATGTCAGCTTGCTGGTTTGTGCATGGTCGAGCTCAAACCAGAAATGATTACGAATATAATAGTTTTCTGCAATTATTGGTTTAAACTGTTCTTCACGCAATGGGTGGCATTGTAGACAGATATGAATTTGAACCTTATAAAAAGCAGAAGAATATCAATAGAAAAGCCTTCTCTTGATCATAGTTCATCATGTATCAAATACAATCATATCATTGAAGAACTAGACCTCTTAGGCAAGACTTCATATAATACCTGTGCAGGATATTGGGTTCTTCGAGAGCCATTGTCTGTCCATGCATATGGGTTAATATTCATTTGGCCAGAGCTAGCAGCTTCAAAGATTCCATGTAGTTTCCTATCGCTATAGTTAAAAAGGAACAGTGGCAAGCTTGGCTCAATATTTTTCACATATGACCAGTGTTCAGCTGGCAAGCCTAATCAAGTTGAAGTATTTTATGAGGTCACGGAGATATGACTCTGTATAAATCGCATACCATCTGCTAAAATTCATTCTTTGATTTCAAAAAAACAAAAAAAAAAAACATTATCAATCATGTAAAAACAAATACAGAAAAGCCAGCTATCGGAGTTGAACTGATGAGATTACGAGCAAATATATAAATAAACTCCCGAAAGATAAATGACTATAGGAGGTCATTTTTTTGAGATCCATCCAGTGCTCAGCAAATTAAAGTCTCGCAAAACTAAGAAATATGTTTTCCAAGCTCATGGCACTCACTGCCATTTCAGTTTTCATATTTACAGACAAGGAGCCCAAATTTAGTAGTAGTTATGCAACATTTGCGATTTTATACTTTTGCATGGAGAAACAAGGAAAAGAAATTTTGAATCTCACAAAGAGTATGAATCCATGGGAACAGAGTGTTCCCTTAGTAGGCAAAGCTAAAAGAAAGAAACTAACTACCTAAGCATGGAATTGAAAGACAAACGACTGACCAAAGAGTTGTGCAGAGAGGCATTCACCCATGGTGCTATTCTTGCAGCCAAATATGACACCTGCAAGCTGGCTTTTTTTCAAATTTCTAGCATGTGATGTGCTGTTTGCATAATTTGGAGGCATAGTTCCTCTTCCACTGATAATGAGAGAGTTTGCTTTCCTTCCAGCCCCAATCCTACGATCACGTTATAATGATACTGCATAGGAAATAGTCTTGTCCTTCAAGTACAAGTATAGAACTCAAATGCGCGACAAATGAAGGCCAACATTGACGTAAAAAACATACCCTACAATTTTAAGATAACTGATTCAACTATTGAGACGAGCCAACGTAGTACCAAAAAAGAATTATGGGTACAAATGGAAAACTACAAAAAGCATTTTGAGTTAATTAGCCCCAAATAACAAGCATAAAGGCTAAAGGGCTAATATTTGTGAATGAAGCACAACATCAAACACATGATGCACAATCCGTTGGTCACACGTATACACACTCCAAAACAAAACAATTAAGTTCTCCATACGGATTCCTTTCTCAAAGCAAAAATTCAGCAATATAAAAATTCTTCTAACGTAACCAGGAAATCGAAAACCATAAAGAATCATAATATAAAGACACAGAAGGTTCTCATAAACAAAAAGGCGAGGCTTTAAAGTATTAACAGAGACTGATAAACAAAAAAGAAATGACGATGTTCATCCATAAATCTGCACATTTAATAGATTCAGAGGCCTAAAAATAAAAACATGAACAGAATATTGAATTGCTCAGTTAAAGAAAGGGAATAACAATATCACAGAACACACTTACCAACTCGGGTTATAGGGCCAATAAACGGAAAGAATATACGACAAACCGCACCATTTATCGAAAATACTAAATTTACTTAAACCCTAAAATGCGAAAATCTGTACAAATGAAAAATGAAAGATCAAGCTTAAAGATGATGCTCTCATTCGAATAAACAAGAAGTATCGCATGCGATTATAAATGGAAGAAGAGAAAAAGAGTTGCAGAACGACGGAAGGGGAAAAGAGAAGTCAGAACCGTAACTTGAAGCTTGAAGAAGTTAGTGGGTGAGCAGAAAGGGAGTGAGGGGTAAAGCTCTCGCCGTAATAAACTCAAGAAGCGCGAAACGGACAGAAGTACGTAAAGAGGAGACAAAAAATTTTAAAAATAGACTTATAGCTTTCGGCGTCTGACGTATTCACATAGCATGTGTCGCGTAGTAAAATAATAATAATTATTTGAGCAAAACAATATAATAATTAATAATGTTGAATTGAATTTGCATGGCATCGGCAATGCTAAATAAGCGAAAGAATGGAATAATAAATATAATGAAATTCATTTCAAAAAAAATATATATAATGAAATGGACGCAGAAAATTTTTATATATTTAATATACAATATGAAATAAAGAATGTAATGAAAATTAGTAAAAGACTGAAATATCTTTTATTTTATTAAATGGAGGAGAAAAATGGAATATATAAATAATAAAAGAAAAGGAGCATGTATAGAATTTAAAATATATTATATGGAATTATGGAATTGGGATTCAGAAACCATAGATACAAATCTTAGGGTGTGTTTACTTGTAGAAAACTACTCCAGTTTTCTAGAAAAGTTTTTCAATAAAATTGAAAAATAAAGTTTTGTGTTGAAATAAGTCAGTTTTCTATTTAGAAAATTAGAAAACAGTTTTTCAGTTTTTTAAAATTTAACTAAGATGTGGAAAACAGCTTTAAGTTGTTTTTTAGAGTTTTTCTTTATAACAAAAGACATGTTTTCAAAATGTTTTTCACTTTTTTAAAATGACATTTTCATAATTAAAATTATAATATTTAAAAATAATTTTTTCTATAAAATATTTTCCGTTTTATAAAGAAAAGGGTTTTTCAATAAATTGAGAAAAATAAGTTTTGTGTTGAAATATTAGTCAGTTTTTCATTTATATTTAGAAATTGAAAACAGTTTTTTCAGTTTTTTAAAATTTAAACTAAAAGATTGTGGAACAGACTTTAAAAGTTTGTTTTTTAGAGTTTTTCCTTTATACAAAAGATGTTTTCAATGTTTTCTAACTTTTTTAAAATGAACTTTTCAATAATTAAATTAGTAAGTATTTTAAAATATTTTTTCTATAAAATATTTTCATTTGAAAGAAAAAAAATATTTAAGTAAATTAAATTTTATATTATGCTTAATAATATTGATTTTTTATTACAATCATAATTATCTTAGTGGTATTATTTAAATTTTTACGAAAATAATAAATATAATGATATTAATTATTATAAATAATATAGTTTAAAAATTCAAAAAATTTAAGTACAAAAATGGTGTCTAAAATATTATTTTGTAATTTATTTTATTTCTTTTTAATTATGAAACGCTTTATGTAAATAAGTCTTATATTTCAATTAAATTAAAATATAACTTTTATATTATTATCAAGTAAATAGATTTTTATTTCTTTTAATTATGAAAGTTATGAATAGTATTTATAAAATTAAATTAAAATATAAATTTTTATTATTATCAAGTAAATGCATTTTTCATTTTTTATTTTTAATTTTTATTTTTTAAGAAAACTCTTTTATTAAAAAAGAGAAAATAGAAAATAGAAAACCGTTAACTGATTTCTGTAATTTCTCAACTTATCTCTCTTGAGCGCAAGTACTCCGTAACCTCATCATGTGACTAATGAAGATCCATTTTGTGAAGATGCACATGCATGTTTTTTTCATTAAAATATAATCAAATTCATTATCTAATCACTCTCTATTTTAGAAAATCAATTATACGATCTTCAAATTTAATGCATGTCCACCTTAATCCAAAAAGAATATCTTTTATTTATGCGAAAAAAATGGATTTAAAAAAGAAAAGGAAAAATAAATCAAAAAGATATTCTTAATGAATAATTGAATTCGAGTTTAGAAAATAGTTTATTCCTATTGTGTAATTCGCAGTATTATTTCAGTTCATTAGGCCTTCTAACGAATAAAAAAATTAAATTTTTTACTTTTTGATATTTCATTCAACAATTTTAGAACACAAATCAATATTCAAAATTAAAATTTACAAATTTTTAAGTTTAAAATATTTGATAATATTTAAAATTTAAAATTTTTAATTAAATGAAATGTTAGTATTTAATTTTTTATTTTATTCAACAAATTTAAAACACAAATCAATATTTTAAATTAAAACTTTCAATGGACAACAACTTATGCATGTATAATTTAAAAGTTGCAATTAAATTAAAGTGACTTTGAATAAATGAAATATATCAGTAAATTTTCGAATAATTTATAATTTAAAAACTTAATTCTAGTAACATTCATTTATTCTAGGCTTAAAAATTAAAATTTTAAACTTAATTTCTAATTTTGCATAAATACTGCCTACTTGAGTCTAGGACAAGATAAAAAATTTAAAAAAAAAAAAAAAAAAAAAAAATTTAAAAAAAAAAAAAAAAAAAAAGAAGTAGAATAGAAAGAAACATACTAAAAAAAAAAAAAAAAAAAGAAGTAGAATAGAAAGAACATACTAGAAAAACAATTGTTTACAAGTTCATGGAGGCCAAAATTTTGAAAGGCGGACTAGAAAGACGGATCCCATAAAGGAGCGTTAGCTTGATGGGTTTTGGGATTTAACCGTATCCAAGTCCAATCTAACTTTGGGTTGGAACGAAACAAGGACAAAGACGTGGCCCAAAAATCCATTTTGGGCTTCAGCAATGATGATACACACCCATCAAAATCATTAACTTTTTACATATTGAATCAATAATCTTTTTAAAAATAATTAGTAAATCTTATGTACTGAATTAATAATCTATCTAAAATTAGTTTAGGTATTTTAGTTAATATTTTTATAATTAAGTCCTTTTCATGTAATTATGTAAGTTATTTTACTCTTTTTTTTTGTATATCTTTTAAATTTTGAATGTTTGATAACAAAATTAAGACTTTTCAAGACTTATAGTTTTAGAGATTGAAATATTAAGAGAGATATAAGATTAGGTGAGAGAAACAAAACAGAGAAAATCATGAATATGATTTAGCGATATGGTAATTAAAAAAAAGAAATTAAAAATAAAATTATATTTATCGAAATATATATTATTTTGTGAGAAAAGTGGTGAACAGTGCAATCCATCATCCTCTTATGATTTTATAACAAAGTCACAAACATTTAAATTTTTTTTCAAAATTAATTAACATGAAACCTTATAAAAGTTCAACTTGGAATCTTTGATAACAAAATTGACCCCATGTTCGCCACCATGCCTACCATTTGGGACCCTTGCATCCACTGAAAAAAGGGTTAAAGGTGGTGGTTACTCCACGAAGATATCTGCAAATGTCCTGTGCCTGCGGCTGTGGCTATTGGGAACTTGGAGAAAATATCAAACACCCATTACCAATTACCAAAAGCTTCTCCTCATATCAATCAATCAATCAATCAATCGATCAATCAAAACTGAATCTAACTGTTTAAGAGAGTTAGGTTCATTTTCATTTACCAGAGAGGGTAAAAATCCATAAAACTTGACCATTCATAGACTGCTACTTATTTGACATTTCCATGTCCATCCCTGCTGATTAGGGTTATGATGCCAAAACCCTTAACTTGTGCTATGAAAAGCAGTATGGCCTACTGAGTACTGACCAACTTGGTGTACTCAGTGTAAGTGGGAAATGTGGGTTCATTTTCAAAGGTTCATTAAAGTCAGCATATTCATACACGATACCTCTTATGCTTTTACTTGATTATAGACCAAACACTACAAGAGAAACTGGCGTTGCACAGTTGTTTTTTTTCTGTCCTAACTTGCTTAACTTACAAATCTACTGTTATGTTTTCTTTTTAACTTATTCACTGAGCATCCAATCCATCCATTTATGATTTGTCTGGTAAAATTAGCTGTTTTGATAGTCGTAATTATTTTAACAAAATTTAGTTGGTTCAGTAGCTTTATATAAAATGCTAAAAGGGTTAACTTTTTATAAAATATGGCTTTAACCTTTAAAAGTTAAGTCAAACTTTATGTTACCGAACAATGTAAAAGTTAAAACACTAAAATCTACTTAAAAAGCTATTATCGAACATAACTTTAAGAATAAAGCACTCTCAGCTTCGCATTGACAATTTACTATAAATACGAAAAAAGATTTACCTACACTCGGTATATGAACTCATATATATATTAAATTAATCGCAAATAATGCTTTAGTTTAAACAAAAGTATTCTCGACCATACATTTAGGTAAAAAGATAAAGCATTAACATTTTTTTTTTAAATAAAACTTTTTTTGATTGTGAGACCACTCGTGTATCCTGAGTTTAAGCAATGATTTTCCAAATAACAAGCGAACAAAACTCTTCTAGTTCATGAATATATTGGCTGAACATATAAATTTACTCCTAAAATTTATTATTTTAATTTTTACTTTGAACCGTCAAATATTCCAACTTATGAAATTATACCTACTAAACACTTTAATTTGTAAAGTAATTTCAACTTACAAAATTACATCAATTAAACACCTATTAGATACTTAAAAATTATAAAAATTATTGTTCCAAAACAAAACATATACTAACTGCATATCAAATTATTATTTTGCATATAACAATCAAAAATCTAAAAAATTATGTAAAATATGAAAAATTGTGTAATATTACCAAAATATATAAATTTAAATATACAATAAGTTATCACAAAGTTAGGGTGAATTTATATATTATAAAATTCATTTGACTTGCTTGTAAGGTCATATGTTGTCCATGTTCATGCACATTATTAATGGTTGGTCAATTTATTTAGAGTACGATAAAACTAATAGAGATTGGATATTTGCATAATAATGATATATGATTAAATGTGTTGGTAACATGAGTTACTCTCATTATGCTTTTTATCGCTATATGCTAAATAATTTCAACCAATCTAATTTTTCTATAGTTATTAATTGTTAGTTACCTTTTTCTTTTTCTTTTAATTATGAGGATTTTCGATCTAACG